CTATGAGCTTGTGGGTTTAAAGAAATTTGATTTGCTCTGATCATTGCCATCTTTTTTTTTTAATTTTTGGTGCTCAGATTCCCATATTGGAAAGTGGGGTCCGCTCAGGCTGTCTTCTCTTTTGACATCGCCCATGACCTCTGAGACCACCTTTAGGGACAGCGGGGTGTCCTGCCTCAGACCCATCTTGTTGTTATTCCAGAAGCCCTCACCTGGGTTGTCAGTGGTCTAGGCGACAGAGACAGGAGATTTTATTAGAAAAAGAAATCACGAATTTATATTGATATTTCCAGTTCCCTTCACTGCCTTGGCTGTTACAGTTATACCTTTCCTTTGATGCTGAAAATGGTAACGGTAGTGCCCTGGTTTGAATGTGTCACCCAAAGTTCACATGTTGGAAACTTCATTCCTAATTCAACAGTGTTGGGAGAAGGGGCCTCATTAGAGAGAATAAGGCCAGAAGCACTCCGTCCTTGTGCGTGGATTAGTGTTGTTATTACAAGAGTGGGCTAGTTACCTATAGAGTGGGCTGTCATAAAGCAAGTTCGGTGCCCTCTCTCTCTCTGTCTCTCTCTCTCACCCTTCCTGGGGATACAAAGGCCCTCACCAAACGTGGGCCCCTCAACCTTGGACTTCCTACCTCCAGAACTATAAAAAATAAACCTCTGTTCTTTGTAAATCACCCAGCCTCAAGTATTCTGTTAAAACAACACAAAATGAACAGAGATAGTATTTTTCCTTATTTCATTCTTCTGTACAGAGCAGCTTCAAAGTGAAATTGCCGGTGCCATGAAGAACAGACCACCGGGTGCGCTTAAACCTTTATTTGTGGCTCTTTGTGTCCTTGGATTACACCCCACCAGATCTGCAGAGACATATATGTTTCTGAGCCCCTCAAAGTAGTTTTTTTCTGTGTGGTCAAGCTGCTGATGTGGCCGCAGGTTTCTTTCCTTTTGGCTGGGCATTTTAGGTAGCACTGTTTTTAATTTAGTTTTTATTTTCAGATAAATAAGCTACTTGCTGGGTTGAGTTCCACCCTGGAAACTCCCAAGTTGAGATGCGTTGACAGACGCCTGCCCTGCCATCTCTCTTCCTGTTTCCAGTCACCCCGGCTGTGCACATGGCTCTTGGTGTTGCCACCTCTTTCTGCCACCAGCTCAGCCCTTGGTAATTTTTGCTCAGTTCAAGATAGACGTCGTGAAGGAGCCTGAACCACTGGAATGCGTTTCTTTTTTTTTTTTTTGTTGTTTTTTTTTTTGTTTTTTCTCCGGTACCGGGAACCGAACTCACGACCTTGCGCTTGCCAGGCAGGCGCTTTGCCGCTGAGCTAAATCCCCAGCCCCTGGAATGCGTTTCACTGGGGCTTGTGCTCCAGCGTTAGGCAGACAGCACACAGTGCAGGTTCTTGCTGCTGTGGGAATTAAAGAGGAAAGCTTGTACAGTCCGCAAGCTTGCAAAGGCTACAGGAAGGTCCCTTTAGAAGCTTTCAAGGACGCAGGTGGCCTCCGTAGGGTCAAACAGGTCTCACTGAAGACAAAACGCGGCTGGGAAATAAAGCTCTTCTGCTGTAGTCTCACTCCGCATCGCAGGTGCTGAGTGTGGTGCGGCCCCTCCCTGTTCCCTTGGACACCAGGGGCAAACGCATGCCTGACGGTGCTCCCGAGAGCTCCCCCACGACAGGGCAGGCTCCTCTGTCCTTCCGGAAGGGGGCTGCCTTTGTGTGGGCCCTGCTGGTGGACAGATGTCTGCTGAGTGCTTGGCTTTGAGCTCCTCCGCCCGTGTGTGCCGCTTGCTCCTGGGGCGACAATGCCGCGTTCTTTTCATTTGCCTTTGCGCATTGCGTTTCACGCTCAGCGAAGGGGCCGGCTCAGCAGTTCTGGGAGAATGAATGATGTGTGCTGGGACCTTCTGGCCGTGGCCACTGGGTGCGTTTCAGGCGCTGCTTTTTAACTTTGTGGACTCGGCAGGGTGCACATGTGCGCTGGACCCGGGCAGGTTACACACTTCAGCGGAGCTACAGAGTTTTCATCTTACGAAGTTAACAGGCCTTGGCTGGCTTGCGTTTTGAATGTCGTCACTTGGAGGCAAAACCAGGATTAAGTCAGGCTTGTTCTCCTTACCTTCCTCTTCCACTGGGGTAGCCAGAGAGTCACCTGCTCTCAGAATTGGGGTACAGTATGGGGTCCCCCTGTTTCTCTGGATTCCACATCCTGGAGATGGTATCTTAGGGTTGCTCTGAAGCCAGGAGCAACTTCTTGCCCCTTTACTCTTTAATTCTTCTTGGATGTTTAGGATGGTGGTTTTTAATTCCACCATTTCTGCGTGGAATCAGATCCTGTGGGGGCCCCCAGCCTTCTCAGCACCGCATGACCTTCTAGGGCCCGGCAGTGTTGGACTGTGCTGGTGTGTGTGGCGGGTGTCTGCCATCCCAGGTCCCGGCCCCTGTGGCTGGTCACTCAGGCAGGGTGTGTGAGCCCGCCGCCACCCTTCAGGCTATACCGGGAAAGCCAAGCATGAGCCCTCCCCGCCGGCATTCTCCCGGCAGTCTTGATGCTTCTGTGGCTGGGAAGGAGGGGACAGCCGAGTGCCCGAGGGCAGAACCCCTTAGAGCCCCTCTCGCCCTCCTCCTCCTCTCCTCTGTCTTCCTGGTGAGACACAGAGTCAGAAGGCCACTGCAGTCACCTCCAGCCATGCTTCCCACAGTGATTCAGGCACCAGCTTTCTTATTTATGAAGAAGAGTCTAAAACGCAAAATCATCAGAAGCAGTCAAAACTTTTTTGATCTCTTAAGCTTGATGATGAAATCCAGAACCTTAGAAGTGAGAAACAAAACCGAGCGCTGTCCCCAGTATCTGTTCTGGACTGTGTCCCCCAGGTCAGTGTGGTGGAAGCCCGGCAGGAAGCGGAAGCTGGGAGGGCCCAGGAGGGCCCAGGAGGGCCCTGGAGGGGTGCGGGCTTTGCATCCCAGGAAGTTGCTAAAGACTCATGTGTGATGCTGGAGGAGCTGCAATGGTGCACGCGCGTGTGTGCGCGCGCATGCTCATGTGCTGACCGGCTTCCAGGGGGGGACTGCTGTTGTGCCACAGTTGATTGGGACACTTTCTCCAGGAAGCACATGGCCCTCATCTGCCAGGGAGGCCTTGCCGTGTGGACAGGTGCATGTCCTCAGTCCTGGACGGCTTTGCCCCAGGTCCCTGTGGACTCTTTGCACACCTTGGTCACCTGAGCAGCAGGGGTCATCTGGAGGGTCCTGTGGGCATGTCTGTCCTTCGTCACAGCCTGTGTAGATGCCTCCTTCTCTGGGCACCTCTGTTGTCATCAAAGCCAACACCCTTGCCAGCCCGCAGCGACGTTCCCTTTCTGTGTGGAATCATCTGTGGTGGGAGGCGGGGCGGAAGGAGCAGGCACAGGGCTTTCTGCGCAGCTCACGGCGTCTTCCTCAGACGCTCAGCAGTGGCTGGAGTGGTCACTCAGGGGCTGGGGCAGCTCAGGATAGCAGCGGGGGACAGCCACCGGCCCTGCAAGTCCTGGGGGTGGGGATTGTCATCTGACCACCCCGTCGGCCCCCAGCTCGGCCTGGCACTTGCTAACTCCCTGCGTTTGAGAAAATCAGCTTCGGCGAGGGAACGGAAGGGCAGGATTGATAAGAGCCGTGGATATGTTCTCAGAGCAGGCCCCTGGGAGGTGTGTGGCTCTGTGAGGCCATCCTGAGGTCTTCAGTCCTGCCTCATCAGACAGTATGACTGTGAGCTATGTCCTTTGTGGTATCTGTGACCACAGCCCAGCACGAAGGGCCGAATGCTGCCACGGATCCGAGCATCCAGCTGTCTGCTCCCAAAACAGCAGTCAGAGCTGTGCGGGGGTGGACAGCAAAGCCTGGCACTCCTGCAGTTTACGTGGGGAAATCTCCTCATTTTCATAACGTGTTATTTAAGCTAACATGCAAATAGGTGTCCTGCTATCTTTAAATGCATTCTTGCGTGTGTAAAACACTCATGGGTTCCAGCTGTAAGCTGTAAGATATAAAGGGCTTCTGAAGAGGAGGTGCTTTAGAATTCCTGTTTTAACGCTTTCCTCGAAATGAAAAGAAGTCGCATGTCAGGTAGAACAGTGCTTGACCCTTTGTCTTGATTTCCTTGTCTCCCACTTGGCTTCCCTGAGGGAGCCTCAGGCTTTCTAAAAGGCTCCCATGGCCCTCTGTGCTGGGGGCCAAGAGGGGTGCTCTGGCGATTCAGAGGGTGGGAGCAGATCCCCAAGAAGTGCTGTTACAGCGCGGCGTCCCTAATCTGAAAATTTCAAACCCAAAGTGCTCCAAATTCTGAAACTTTGAGCACCATGTGGACACCCAAAATCTGTTGGATTTTGAAGCTAATTTTAGGTTTCAGGTTAAGTGTGCTCCACTGGTAAAGTCTATGCAAGTGTTCCCAAATCTGAAAAAATTCCAAACTCTGACATACATGTAGCCCCATGCATTTCAGAGAAAGGAGGCTCCACCTGTATCTTTCTCTGTGTCTTTGTATCTAAAAGGGCATGGACATTCAGTAGCAGAAAGTGCCTTCTAGGCGTGTGCCCTCAGGGTGGGGACAGCAGGAACTTTGGGGACAGCTGGGTGGGCCTGGCCTGGCCTTTCTGGGGGACCTTGTGCTGGCCATGGCCCTCTGTGTTGGTGGTCAGGGGGGCACTGGGTGGATTTGGTGAGTCAGGGCAGATGGTGGCCGTACCCTTGTGCCACCTTATACCTGGGTGGCCTTGTACCTGGACCTTAAAGGATTTGTAGGGTTGGAGAGAATGGGAGGAGTAGACATCCGAAGAGGAAAGGGACTGTGGGTAAGGGGATCAGGAGAAGTGAGGGGACCATCAGCATGAACCTGGTCCCAGCTGCTGGAGGCGACCGTGTCCCCTCAGGACTGCCCAGGACCTTGATAACGTGTCCCAGTGCTCCGTGGTCCCCATGTCTAGCGTGCTGAGCAAGCAGAGCTGACTGTACGTTGCTCCTCCAGGAGAACCACTGTCGCCGCATCAAGATCCTTGGGGACTGCTACTACTGTGTGTCCGGCCTCACCCAGCCCAAGACCGACCATGCCCACTGCTGCGTAGAGATGGGGCTGGACATGATCGACACTATCACGTAAGCACTGTGCTGTCGGGGCCCTGTCTGAGGCTGGGGCAGCTGCATGAAGGCACCCGGTCCCCTGAGTGCCCTGCTTGGGGAGGTGATGCCTTGGTGACCTCTCTTACATTTTGTTTGGGGTGTATGTCTGTGTGTTGTCATGCGCCTGAGATGTGCAGAAAGAAGCGAGCTGCATGAGCCATTTGGAAAGGGTTGCCCGGAATCTGGTGGCTCCTTTTCCAAAGACAGTGGTGTGAGCTTATCTTCTGCCTGGGAAGAGGCTGCCTCTGGTGCTATCTGGGAGCAAGGGCTGGGATCCCAGGGTGAGCCTTCCTGGCCCGGGATCTGGGCAGTTGAGCCTCCATGGCCTGGGATCTGGTAGGGTGAGCCTTGATTGCCCAGCTGCCCGTCCCTGTCCCTGCAGTGTTGGGGTCCACCATCAGCTCTACTTCTGACCTCAGCTCCGTCAGCAGTGCCCGCACCCGGACTGCTTGCTGCGGACAACACAGCAGTGCATTACAGTTCTGTGTGCATCGTCAGGCTTTTGAAAGGACACCGCTGGGTGCAGGGCTCCAGCCTACTGCCCCGGCACACGACTGGGAGATTGGTCTAACACCCGGGTCTCTGTCCCTGCCACGGTGGCCTTGGCTCAGAGCAAGGGTGTTTGTTGTGAAGCTGACTCTCCCATTGATACATGGAGAAATTGAGCCTCCCCAAGACAGAAGGGACCTGCTAGGGTCACACAGCACTTAAGAGGCAAGACCAGCCCAGGAAGCAACCTCGCGGGAACTTTCCAACCCATCTTCCTTTCTGCTCTACACAGAAGCCACCTGCCTGTGGCAGTGGGGTGGGGCCCTGCACCCCGGGGTCTCCTGGTGATGCTCAGGTCCCAGGGACAGAGTTCAGCGTCTGACCTTCTGGGTGATGGGGGGCCTTGTCTGAGGCTCCCAGGGCTCCATCCCTGGGTGCTGGGTTCTGTTCTTCAAGCCGTGTGCATGCGGGACTCTGGGGTAGGGGGAGCAGGGGCGGAGGCCAGTTGAGGCCCAAGTCACCCCTACCCTGCGCCTGCCTCCCTGTGACTTCTGTGCCCGCTCCTTTCCTGCTCAGGCCCCTACCCTCTGATAACTGTCCCAGAACTCTTTTTCTGAGTGGGCTGGAAACTCCTGATCCCCAGGAAGTAGATGAACCTACAGATTCCTGGCTCCCGTTTTCCCTGAATCCTTCATTTCCGTTGCTGTAAAATGAATTGGTGTTGGCATGTCTGAGTGGTTGTGAGGCTTGAGGGGTTCTCAGATGAAGTGGTTCTGTGTGGGAGGGACAAATCAGCTCCCAGATGTGAGGGCCCAGCCTGGAGGAGGAGAAAGGGCCCCTCTCCTATGGGAATCCCTCTGGAGCACGTCGTCCTGCACAGCCTTAGGGGCGGGGCCACATCTGTCTGCTTTGGGAACCTCACTGTTGTTCCCACGACCCTCAAGCAAGCAGGGCACCATCTTGAGAAATAGATTTAATCAAGCATGGCCTTGCTCGTGGTCTCTGTATTTTTCGTTTACTTTCCTGAATTACACAGAAATACACCCTTCTAGACGTGTCCCAGTGACCCACATCCTCCAGTCATGGCCCATTGCCTGACAGCACATCTATTGATGAATCCACTGATGATTAGACTCCCATAGTCCAGCTACCTTCCAAAAGCCCTACCTCCAGTGCATGAGCCTTTGGGGGCGTATTCTAGATGGAAGCCATAACAGCCTGAGAACACAAATAAGAAAGAAAAATAGGACAAAAAAAGCCAAAAGGGCTGTAGAAATTCTGGTTCCTTGGAAGTAAAGTTGGACTTAGGCAAAGCTACTCGTATGTTCCAGCAGTAAAGGGGCCGGGAGGAGGTACCACAGTGACAGCTGTGGACACTGGGTGCTTGGGAAGTGACCGTCCAGCATGCTACAGGCTGGACGGTGTCAGCTCCACCCCCGGGGTGACAGAGCCTGCTACAGGGACTGAAGAAAAGGGTGTGGTAGAGTGCACAGGGACCTGGTGGAGGCTGGCTGGGGCTCTGAGAGTGTGGAGGGCTGGTTTAGGGGGTACAAAGGGGTCTAGGGGCAGGGGTGGGCATGAGTCCCCGCAGTTCTCCTGCTGTTGTTAACCATTTGTGACATGCAGATGTGTAAATGCTGGAAATGCCCCAAAATACCATTGACAGGTTTCCTGTCTACATCTTCTTCCGTACATTAAAAAAACATTTGTTTTTAGGTGTTTTTTTTTTTTGTTTGTTTGTTTGTTTGTTTTTTTTTTTTGGTATTGGGGATTGAACACAGGGTCTTCACACCGTGCTGCACCTCCAGTGTTTTACTTCTTTTATTTTGAGGCAGGGTCTGGCTGAGTCCCTTAATTTTCAGACTGTGCTTAAACTTGCAGTCCTCCTGCCTCAGCCTTCCAGAGTGCTGGAATTACAGACGTGTCCCATGTCCTGCTTTAAAATATATTTTAGTTTTAGAATTTTGTTTCAGTGTCTGTTATTGGAGATTGCAAACAGTGGGGGGAAAAGTTAAATTTTAAAGATATTGTTTCTAAAAATGTATAAAAATGAATAAAGATATCAGTGTCCTAACTTCCAAGTGACTTCTTCGTAAACACATGGAACACATCATTCTGAGGTCCCTGAAGATGAGCTCGCTGCAGGGCTTCCAGGACTGACACAGAGCTGTGTGAAGCCACCCTCCTGCACGGTCCTCCAAGGGCAGCCAGTGGGCAGCTTCCTGGGCTGCTGCTGTGTGCCCTGCAGGCTGGGGCTGCAGGGCTGGGAGCAGAGTGGAGACGTCGGGGTGGTGGTGAGCCAGGCCTGGCTTCTCAGGTGGGGCCAGCCGGCCCAGCACCCACGGTGTTATCCGTGATCCACAGAGGGACCCAAAGAGTGAGGCCTGTGGTGCAGGGAGCAGGGCAGAGCGTGGAACCGGCTGAGGACTCAGTGACAGCTGAGGCATTTTGCTGTCGCCGTCACCCGCCTGGCAGTGACAGAAGTGGGGAGTGGGCTGTCCTTCTTGGTGCTGGCCTTGGTGTTTTCACTCTAGAAAGAGCCAGCAGGAGGCTGGGGACTCCCTTAGGCACTAAGGTAGAGTTCAAATGGTTTCAGGGATTCTCGGGGCCAACTTGGCCAGATCCTGGTTCATACCAGGGAAATCCAGGCTCTGGGAGTTGCAGCGGCCAGACTAGAGTGTTCTCTAGTTCCGCAGAACTAGAATCCGCAGTTCTCTCCGCTCCGCCTTGCCTCTGTTCACCTCCTCAGCACCCCTTCTCTTGGGGACGAGGCTTGGGTGGTGTGTGGGTCCCTTTAGGGTCTTTCCTGGGTTGGGGTGCTCAGGGGGAGGCGTGGAGAGGCCCACAGAGGTGGCGTGGACACCGGGAGATGGCTAGGCAGCCAGAGAGGCCGCTGTCCACCGGCCAGGCCAGGTGACCTGCAGCTGTCCGCCCCATCCCAACACCGCTCAGGCTGTGTGCAGCCAGAACCAAACCCACAGCCGCACACGGCTCCACGGGGCCCTCAGCGCAGGCTCAGCCTCACGCCCTGCGCCTGTTTTGCAGGTCCGTGGCTGAGGCCACCGAGGTGGACCTGAACATGCGCGTGGGGCTGCACACCGGCAGGGTCCTCTGCGGCGTCCTGGGCCTGCGCAAGTGGCAGTATGACGTGTGGTCCAACGACGTGACCCTGGCCAATGTCATGGAGGCCGCTGGCCTGCCGGGGTAAGTTCAGGACTGGGTAGGGTATGACCGAGTGCTCTCACCCCAAGGGCCCTGTGTGGGTTCTAAGTGGACCCTTGGCATCGGGGCCTCCTGCTCTGTCCCCTCAACACCTGTCACCCACCGTGCAGCCCCATGGCCTGGGGTCCCGCCCACTCCACTGACGCTCTCCTGGGATCCCGCAGAGACCTGGTGTGGGCCGAGAAGACCCAGCACACGTGGGGACTTCCGCCTGGGGCACAGGATGGCGCGTCATTGCTCTCTGTTCGGTTCCCTTTCTTCATGTGGAAAGTGCTGGACATAGAGCCCCAGGGCACTGGCTGTTCCCTCCTGTCCCTGTCCCTCCTGTTAGCCCCCCAAGGATCAGAAAGCAGCCACTGCCAGCAAAGGCTGCTGCTGGCCACCCAGGCCCTGCTCCCTTGCTGGAGCCCCAGAACATTTGGAGCTCCCCACTTTGCCCCGAGGTGGGTCACCCCTCAGCGTGAGCCCTCTGCTTGTCTTTAGTCAGTGGACAGCTCGCACTCGGGGCTTCCCCTGCACGGGAGTCAGAAGACTGCAGTGTAGAGTGGGTTGATGGGTTGCAGGCGTGGAGTTTGCTTTTTGTCCACACCTCACACGCTTGTCAGGCTGGCCAAGGAGCAAAGGCTGCAGAGTTTTGTCTGTTTTGCAGGGTCGGCCGCCACTAGCCCTGAGCTGTGCTGCTGACCAGGGCCTCTTGCTCCCTGCACCCCTCTTTTCATTTTCTCATCTCTGTCGCATCCTCTGGTGCTTTTCTTTTCTCTCCCCTCTCCTCCCTCTGACCCTTCTTCCTCCCTGCCCTCAGCTGTCCCTTCCCTATCTTCCTGTCCTGTGCTTTCTCACTTGCCCGCCTGTCTGCTGGGGCCTCCCTCTCCTTTCCCAGATGAGCAGATACACTCGGGGAGCCTGAGCCCGTGGTCCCTGAGTGGCAGGGCCCGGTGCCCGCACATCTCTGCATCCTTTTCCCGTAGGAAGGTTCACATCACAAAGACGACCCTCGCCTGCTTGAATGGGGACTATGAGGTGGAGCCAGGCCATGGCCATGAGAGGAACAGCTTCCTGAAAGCGCACAACATCGAGACCTTCTTTATTGTGCCGTCCCATCGGCGGAAGGTGGGTTCCTGGGCCCCTCTCGTTCGCTTGCTCCCAGGGTAGCCTGGCCTGGGTGGAGCCTCAGAGACACATCGTTCCCCCTCCTCCTCCCAGAGCTGCTTCTCCAGCTGTGTATTTGCTGGGGGGGGTGGGGGGGCAGGGGAGGGCCTGCTAACTCTGGGATTGGCTCTGCTTCTTGCAGGTGGGAGGAGGGACCAGGCAGAGAGAGGGGGGGATGAGAACTCATCAGAGGTCTGAGGTTGTCTCAGGCTGGGCCACCCTGGTCCTTCCTCTCTCTGGGTCTTCACTGCCTCCCAGAGCAGGAGCCGGGGCGGGGGGCCTCTGCGAACTGAAAGATGCTGTGTGCCCAAGGGCTGTGGCCGTCCTGTGTGGGTGCTTGAGATCACCAGGCCCAGAGACAATGATCTGGTCATGATGGAGGGTGACGGAAGTGCTCCCAGGGCTCACGTGAGGGTGCAGGTCTTGGGTGAGGGGCTGGGGCTCTGCTGAGGGATGAGGGAGCCCCTGTCCTACACCGCTGGAAGGACTCTGTTTACACGTAGCTCACATGACTGCTTCTCACCACTGAGCAGCTATGTTAAAGGCTCTTTAGAAGCCAAGCTTTCCTGGGCCTGAGGTTCTGAGCGGCTTCTTTTGACCTCTGCCATCTCCCACTGAGGTTCTGGGGGAGGTGGGGCTGGGCAGGGTTGGGTGTCCTGGCTGTTCCAGGCAGGCAGTGTTGCTCAGATCTCCAGCTCAGTAGCCCACACCCTCAAGGGCCTGTGGTTGCCCATGGTTTTGCTTGGTGTGAGTGGACAGGCCAACCCTGTGAGTGGATGTCAGATGATGCCCACACTGCTGCCGCACTGACTCCCACCTGGGTTCTTTGTGGTCCCTGCAGCTTCCACCAGCCTGTTACCATGACTCCGTTTAATGACTATTAGCTTTCCTGTCCCTGGCACAAAATATTTGAGCCCAGTAACTTGAAGAGAAGTTTATTTTGGCTTGTGGTTGTGGTTGATTCAGTCCATGGTCTCCAGCTTCAAGCCAGAAGTGTCATGGTTGAGAGCCTAGAGGAGGAAAGGTGCTCATGGCATAGTGACCAGGAAGCAGAGCAAAAGAAGGATCAGAGACAAGAATGCATCCTTCCAGGTCATAACCCCTGTGGTCCACTTCTAGGCAGACCGCACTCCTAATAGCTACCAAACTCATTGGCAGATGAATCCACTGATGAATATAGAGGCCCCATGATTCAGTCACCTTATAGATACACAAGATGTTTCTTTAAACCATTTTTTGATTTAAACTATAACATTCTGCCCATGACTCCTCTGAAAGACTCATCTCATCGTGCAAACTGTTTTTAGTCCATTTCTATGTGTTGCCATACCACCCTGAATGCGCCCCATCTCGTCTAAGTGTGGCCTAAGTCTTGGAAGTTCCAGCACTGGTGTAAATCTCAAATCCAAAGTCTCTTCTGAGACTCAAGGTAAACTCTTAGCTGTGAGCACCTGTAAAAATCAAAAAGAAAGTTAAATATGTCCAATGTAAAATGGCACAACAGGGTAAACTTTCCCATTCCAAAAGGGAAAATAGGGGGGATAGGAAGGAATGGGATCAAAGCAAGACCAAAGCCCAGCAGAGAAAACATTAAATCCTATAGTTCCGTGTCCAGCAGTGGGGTGAGTTGTGATGAGTTGTGTGCTGCAAAGGGCTTGGGCAGCCCTATCCTTATAGCACTGCTGGTTACAGCCCACATGGCCTCTTTTAAGGTGGCTTTGCTTGCTACCTGTGGCTTTCCTCAGCACACAGTCCACTTTATTGGATTTTCCAACTTTTTGGGGTCTCCATTGTTCCTTCAGCTTCAGTCTGACATCTTCACACACCACCCTTTCACAGGCATGCTGCCCGGCCTCCCAGGCTTTCTTTTGAAATCTGGGTGGAAGCCTCTGTGACCCCACAACTCTTGCATTCTGTATGCCTGAAAAGCACCATGTGCATGACGTGAAGTTCTCCACCAGTGGGAGCAGTAGCTAGGCCCCCTTTGATCTGGACAGCTGTGGTCTCTGAGTGCCTGGATGACTGAACACTGTGAAATAAATCGTAGAAAACCAACTCCCTAGGCACCCCTTCTCCAGCAAGGAGTTCAGGGGCTCTGTTCTCAAATGAAAGCTTTATACTTTTGCATCTTTGAGCCTGCAAAGGCTGGGGTCTTGCTGACTCCTGAGATACCTTCAAGCCAAGATACCTTCCTATTGTCTTGATGCAACATGCCTGGCTTCTTAATCTTTTCAGTAACCATGGTCTTTGCTCCAACTTTGGAGGCACTTCTTTTTGGCAAACCTGGAAATATTTAATATCTTTTGGCTCTGCCTTTTGCTCCTGATTTTCACTGTATATTTTCTAAAAATAGCCAGCAGTACCCAGACCACAGTCTGAACATTGGGCTGTCTTGAAATTTCTTCTGCCAGATCAATTAGTCCCTTAATATCAGGCTCTTGCAAAGTCTAAGGACATGAGAAAAATGAAGACAAATTTTTCTGCCAATGTGTTACACACGTGACCTCTAGTTCAACTACCAGTGGAGTCCTGATTCCCCATGGCATCTTCCTGAACTTGGCTTGTACTGTCCACATTCTTGTCACCATTCTGGTCTTCTAAGGTCCAGCCAGGATCGCCCATCCAGCTCTGTTTATAACATTCTAAGGCTTCTCTAGCAGGCATCTTCAAATCTTTCCAAAGTCCTCCCACAAACTAGTTCCGGAGGTTTCTAAACCGCATGGCTAGGTACAGATGCAGCAATGGCCCCACTTCTCTGGTCCCAGTTTTTCTGTATTAGTCACTTTCCCATGACTCCAACAAAATGCCTGAGACCTGCAGCTTAAAGAAGGAGAGGCTTATTTTGACTCATGGTTTCAGTCTGCGGGTCAGCTGGTTCCAAGGTGGAAGGACCAGGCAAATGAAAGTTGTTCAACTCATTTCACCCAGGAAGCTGAGAGTGAAGGGAGGACCCCAGGATAAGAATGCAAAGAACAAATGTATCCTTCCAGGCTATGCCCTTCTTGACCTACCTCCTCCAAGTAGGGCTTACTCTTAGTAGCGCATTAAGCTGTTGTACTCATCTGTAGATTAATTCATGGATGAATTAATCACTATCCAATCACTATCCAATCACTTTCCACACATGAGACTTTTGGGGGGCATTTTAGATCTAAAGCATAACAGGGACCTAGAATCCTCAGGTGCTCAGAGGCTGATGAAATCCTGGGGTCTCACATTCCAGTTACATATTTCCAGCCAAAATCCTGAGGCTCCTGCCTGAGCCCTGAACTCACACCCCATGCACCATTCCCATTTCTGTCTAGCTCCACCCTAAGGTTATCCAGGATTGCCTGAAGTGAAATGATCCCACCATAAAGGCTAAAGAGGAGCTGGACTATCACCAGTTAGCACCTCATGGAACTAGAACACAGACCTGCTGGGAAAGCCATGTTCTGGAGTTATGCATGTGGTGGGAGGCAGCTTTGGGGGACCACAAGGCAGAGAGAGAAGAGGGAAGAGGAGGGAGCCACCTGCATTGGTGAAGAGTTACCCACCTCCAGCTCCTGAGGCTGAACCTCAGACAGAAAACAGCCAGCTGGTGGCTGGGGTCACATTTCCATCCACATGTGAGGTCTGAGACAGAAGGGGCAAGGCCATGCCTAGTGCTCTGAGCTCTACTCTGGCTTACCTCACCCAGAGGCAGCAGCTGCCACCAGTGAAAATGTCTTTAACATAACCCGGTAAAGATGGAGCCTCTACTTCCTTGCCTTTTCAGTGTCTGCTGTTCTGAGGCACCGACTTTGCCTTGGGATGATGTAGGATGTCCAATTCTTGGGGACCAGTACCCAGTGGGTTGGCGTGAGGGACATTACAGACTCCCTGTGCTGTATGTCCACTGGTGACTCTGACCTCCTGCCTGGGCTGGGCTCTCTCCTGGCTCCCCAAGATGCAGCAGTCAGCCTGAGGGGGCCCAACCTGTGGGTGGGGGTTGGGAAGGGCAATTCTATCTGACTTGGATGCCTGGTGGCTGGGACTGCACTGAAGCCCATGCAAGGTCAATAGGTCAGGTCAGGTCAAGGTGGGCCACAGCTTCCTTGAAGGGGTGAACGTGGGAGGAGTTGATGGGAGAGGCCTGGTGGGGGTGGGGCTGGTCCCTTAGTGTAGCTGGGGTCACCTGAAGAATATGAAGAGTGAAGGTCAGAGTCCTCAGGGAGGCCCTTGACTGGCTACTTGGAATGGTTGGCCAAGGAAGAGGGAATGAGAAAGGGGGGTGGGTCACAGGTGTAGAGAGGTCCAGGTAGGTAGGACACAAAAGACCCAGTGGTCCTGGATGCCACCCCAGCCTGGACCATGTTGACAGAGGGTCCTATGGTTGGAGGGCAGAGTGGACCGTGAGGTCAGACATGGGCAGCTCACATAGGTGATGGGAGGAAGTAGAATGCTGGGAAACCGGAGTATTCTGCCATTTCTGAAGTTGGGATCTTTGCATCTCTCTGTAGGGGCCAGTGGGGAAGAAGGTGGGGAGTGACCAGGTGGAGTGGCCCAAGCACTACAGGGGACAGAGTGTTCCTGGAGAGGAGAGGGGTCAGAGCTGCCAGGACACAGAGCTTTGGGCTCACTTGAGGGCCAGGAGCAACCAGCAGGAGCAATAATAGAGTTGGTTCTGGAGCTCCCTTAGTATCGTCCCACTTTGCTGCATCTCGGTGGTCTTTCCTGTACCTCCATCTTCGTCTGTAGAACAGGATGTGCTGGGACCTAACAGATAACAGAAATGGTGACCATACTAGGTGACCCTTACTCCAAGCCCTAGAGGTCTCCGGTTGTGGGTCCCAAACCGTCCCTCCACACTGGCCCAGTCTTGATGTAGCCCTTGGTTTCAGAGCTGGGTGTTTTGAAAACCGATCTTCTGGATCCTGGTTATGGTTTTATTCTCTGCTGCATTCCCGGTGGGCTCCTGATGCCTGCTGTGCAGCAGACCTGGAGTGAGCAGATCCCAGTGCCCCGGGCCCTGTCACCAACATGCCACGTCACCAGAGGTGTCCCACTGATGGCGTTTCTCTTGCCCTCTGTGTTGGACAGATTTTCCCCGGCCTGATCCTGTCGGACATCAAGCCGGCCAAGAGGATGCGCTTCAAGACTGTGTGCTACTTGCTGGTGCAGCTCATGCACTGCCGGAAGATGTTCAAGGCCGAGATCCCCTTCTCCAACGTCATGACCTGTGAGGACGATGACAAGGTAGGGGCAGCGGGCACCGTCCCCTCCCTTCCAGGACAGCCCTGTGTGGTTGGGTTCAGTCGGCCCTCACCCTGACGTGGTTTCCACTGTCTCTCCCATGCAGATCTTCCTGTTGCTTTGTAGGTTTTTACTCTGTTGTAATCTGTGTTCATCCAATTTCAAGCCAACATCCCTCACGCACTTACCAAGTCGCCTGGGATAGCCCTTCAGGTCTGATGGCTCTGCTGTTTGGGCCTCAGGCTGGCTGTCTTCCAAGGCTGGTCCTTCCTGCCCCAAGGAGCTGGCTCACTCTGTCCCATGGGTGACCCCTTGTCTCTTACATCACGTGGGCTCCTCTCCTGGGTCCTTTCTCTCCTGGGATGGATCATGAGCTCCGGCACCTGACTGTGGAAAGGATATGTGGGTGCTCGCGTGTGTGCAGGGTCTTTGCTGCCGCCAGTGTGCCAGGGCTTTGATGTCTGGGTTGCTGTATCAGTCTGCACAGGCTGCTGTACCACAGTACACAGGCTGGAGGGTGGCATAAGTCCAAACTCGAATCCTGCGCAGAGCCGGAGGATGAAGTCCGAGGTCACAGTGTGGTAGGGGCGGCCTTGCGGGCCTCTCCTTGGGTGGCAGCTACTGACTGCTCGCTGTCCCCTCACAGGGCCAGGACGGAAGGCTCTGGGTCTCTTCCTCTCCTCCTAGGGGCACAAGTCCTATGCCAGCTGATCCAAACCCAGTCACCTCCTAAGCCCTCACCTCCTGTTCACTACACACTGAGGGGTAGAATTTCAATGCATGGGTTTGGGGGGCTGTGAACACTTGGGGCATTGATTGGCCATGATCTCTCTTCTGAGGCTGTGTTGTCATGTGCTATGGCTCCCAGGGTCATTGCTCAGACACTCAGAGCCGACCCATTCCCAGCCCTTGGATGTGGCGCTGAGCCTTGCCTTTGGAAGTGGTGGGACCCATTCCCTGCACCCGTACTCTGAACCCGCACAGTGATCTGCTCCAATTTAGGTCTTTTTTGTATGCTTTGGGACAGGGTCCCTGTGACCTAGAGGATCCACCTCCGGAAGTGTTCAAGGACGACTTTTTTGATTCTTTTCTGCTACTTTTCCAGAAATTCTTATTATTTGCTTCTTGGCCCTCCTGAGCTGGTCTAATTCTCCTCCTGTTTCTCTCCTCTCCATTTTCTGGGAAATTTCTTCAATTCTGTCACCCAACACTTGTTCAGCTTTTCATTTCTTCAACCAGATTTTTTTACTTACTATTTTTTTTATTTCAAAGGGAAACAAAAAAACCAGCAAAATAACAACAATGAAGACAAAAACACAACAGTACAAAAACAATAAGAACAATACAGGATTTCAAAACAAGATGATAGGAATTAACAATGGCTGTTATATTACATATTGTTATCTTCAATGAAATTGCTCAGATTACCAGTTGTAAGAATGCAAGATTGATCAAACAATTAAAGACAATAACAAGTAATAAAAAAACATTAGAAACGGTACAGAGCTTCCTTAAACAAGATGGTAGGAATTCAACAATGGTCGTTATATTGCATATTGTTGTCCTCAAATTAGTTGTTCCGATTACCAAATGTAAGCATGCAAAATTGGTCAAGAGAAGAAGAAATTTAAGCATTAACTGTTCCTTTCAATAAACCAATAGACATCAGCAATACACTTATCTCATCTATCCTTGTATTTACGTATGTACATTTTTCTAACTGGATTTTTTTAAACTTTCATAAGTTCTTTTTGTTTTCTGTATATTCTTTTTTTACGAAATCCTTCCACATTAGAGATGTGTCTTTTTCCTTCTATCTTACTGTATCTTCTTCTTCTTTTTTTTTTTTAGCACTTTCTTGTTTAGGAAACATCTCTGTCTCCCCGAGCTTGTTCCCCTGTGTCTGTCTGACTTTATTCACATTCCCGTCTTCCGTGGGTGCCCGAGCCCTTCCTGTTTTGTCACTGATTGGAATTGGGAGTTACGGAGCCCAACGAGGTCCTGACTGGGGGAACCTCTCCTCTTTGGGCTTTATGGTGCATGTTGTGATTTTCCACCTTTCTTCTTAGATCAGTCATTGTCACCTACAGTTCTTCTAGTTTACTGGAGGACACGAGAGCCCTTCACTTCCAGCACACAGGCCTCACATCTGTAACCCTGGGCTAGAGACCCTGGCCCCCCTACCTGCTCAGCGGGACCATGCGCCAGAGGGGTGGGTGGACTCGGGCCCTGTCACCAGCTCCTGGGGCGCTGGAGATCACAGCAGCTGCAGCCACCAGCGCCTGATGCTGGGCACACTGGGCTCCTTGGTCTGCAGCTCACACCAGCCCTCGGGCCACATCATCGCAGCCCAGGTTCCATTTTCTGAACTTGGTGGATGCTTTGCTTTGTCCACCTTCATTTTCCCCACTTGTATGGGCTTTATGCCTTTTTCTGAGACAAAGTCTTGCTATGTAGTCCAGGCTGACCTTGAATTCCGGGTGATCCTCCTGCCTCAGGACTCCTCATCAAGTGCTGGGGTTATAGCTGTGCACTGCCACGCCTGGCGTTTGCCTTTCTAAAGAAACTCCATGCTGCAGTTCAGAAAGCAGCATGATCCCGCTGTCTCTTGACCCTGGATTTGTGTGTGTGAGCTCATCTTCGCTAGAAGCTCCTCTGAGAATTCCGGGAGAACTCCGTTCGTGGTCTGTTCCGTGGAGAAGATCGGCTTTTACACCTGTCAGGCAGCTGGGGCTGCTCTGAACTAGATGCTTGAGTGCTGGTTGTTAGATATTTTGGGTCGTGATCAGGCCAGAAATCCCAAGGGTGTCCTGCCCCATTCCGATGGGGTCCTGGGTGCTTCCCTGTCCCCGTCTGCTGAGGGTGGAGTCTCTTGGGGCTGGGGACTCCTGCCGTTTTCCTGCTGTGCCTCTGCACTCTGGTGCTCAGGGAGTGCTCCGTGATTTTGGATGGGCTGGGGTCTCCTGGGACTGCTGCTGTCCCCAGGCCCGTAGTGGCTGTAGCCTTGCTGCCCTGCCTGGTCTCCCACCTGCTTTAATGGCCTTTGATAATGTCCTTTACCTTCTTGTCAGTTTAGTTGTACACTTTTAAATGTCTGTGGGTATGTGCATGTGTGTGTGCATGGGTGCACATTTAAATTTTTTATTCAGTTCATAACCACAGAATTTTGCGGCTATTTTGTTTGCTGTTTTACCAAGTGGAATCTCTGTCTTTCTCTACCACCCAGGTCCCCACTGGGAGAAGGTGGAGCAAGCCAGGTGCACAATTTCACTGTGTGTCCAAAATGTAGTTATCTAGTCTGGCCTCACCCGAGTGTTCCCTGAGCCCTGGTCCAGGGCCCTCCAGGCACCAACACGGGTGCATTGCTTAGGTGACACTGCTGGGCCTGGGGCCTGGGGCCTGACCCCACCCACCCGTCACTCTGGCCACAGCACCTCCCTCCTGTGTCCCTTCTACCCTCTCTGCCCCAACTGTGCATGAGCCCTGTGCCTGCAGGTCATCTGCCCCCTGCAGGCCCAGCTCATTGCCAGCCGGTACTGCCAGACACTGCCAAAGCACCCTCTTCTCCCTCCCCACCTGACCTCTGACCTTGCTGCCCACAGTGCCCAAGTCTGCCCTGTGCAGCCTCTGTCCCAGGCAGCTCTCCTCAGGGCCCCATGGACAGAGGCTGAAGTTAGCCCGGCATCCATGGAATACTAGACTTGGCTGTTGTGATGTCCTCTCTGCCATCTGTCCCCAGACCAGACCCCTAGCGACAGGTGCACACGGCAGAGGTCCTCTGCCTAGCTGTCCCTGCCCGCGGCACCCCACACCTGTCCTTGCGTCCTGCTCTCCTGGACCTCCAGCCCCACCTTACAGTGACCTCTGAGTTTGGGGAAGCTGTGTTGCACTGGGCTGGGCTGGGGGCAGAAGTGTGTACCCCTAATCTGAGCCCGGGCACAGCGTGGGGGAGCCAGCAAGCGGGGTTTAGTGAAGTGACTAGCAGCCCTCCTGTATCGGGGACCAGTGTGCTCGGGGTTGCCCCTTTAGGGGTGTGGGAAACATCAACCCATTGGTGCCCAGGCCAGGGCTGGGGGTTGGAGAGGTATTGAGAGGTGTGGAGGTACGCACCTGTAATCCCAGCACTCAGGGAGGCTGAGGCAGGACGATGGCAAGTTTAAGTCTAACTTGCGCAACTTAGTGCCTTAGTGTGTCTCAGAAGTTTAAAAAAATTTAAAAAGGGCTGGAATGTAGCTGGGGGTATAGCTCAGTACAAAGACCCTGGGTTCAATCCCTAGTGAAAAAAAAAAAAAAAAATCCAGAAAAGAAACCATTCAGCAATACTTGGTGGCACTCGTTAGAGCTCAGCAAGGCTGACCTTAGTCAGGACCTTTGCAGAGGACCAGGGGCTGTGACAGTGGGGCCTCAAAGTGGGGAGAGAGATCGGAGTCAACTCAGGGGGCAGGTAGGGGTGGTTGGGTCTGGGGACCCTGTCTACACTGATCCAAGAGGATGCTGGCTGTGGTTGCCCAGGAGGCAGACACCCAGGGCTGGTGAGGCTGCGGGGCCTGACCTGAGATGGAGGGTGAGCCGGCACCGAGGCAGGGTGGGGTCTTTGCTGAAGCTGAATTGCATAAGGATATGTGGATGGATCTGGTACAGTGACAGCAAACCTTTCAGAGACAGGGGCCCCACCTGCAACCCCAAGCCACTTATTTATCACACAGGGCCAACACTGCAATTAAACCTGAACACTGAGGTTTTAGTTTAGAAAAACAACTCATACATTAACATCTTTTGCCTTGAAAGAAAGCAACATGCATGCCCCAGATTTGCCAGGCCTGGCCTAGAAGAAGGTTCTGCCTGGGGTTCTGTGGAGCCCCATGTCCTAACGTCCTTTCTCTTGAAAGATTCAGGCTGCCACTGGATTTGGCCTCCCCTGATGCATGGACACTTGTTCTGTCTGTCCTTTGCCCTCCTTTGATGATAAAAGTATCTCCTGGGGAAAATACAGAGAAATACAAAAATACACAAAGAAGGAAATGAGAAATGCTTGTCTGCAATCCTCCTGGCCTACAAAAAACCCTGCTGTTAAAGTTCCTCCCAGTTCTCTGCGTTTGTGTGTTCGTACGTGTGTGTGTGTGTGTGTGTGTGTGTGTGTGTGTGTGTGTGTGTGATATTGAATTCAGGGCCTTCATACTGAGCTACCTCCCCGGCACTTCATAAAATTTAAAATTTGAGACAGGGTCTCCCTAGGTTTCTAGGTTGTCTGTCACCTTCCCTGCACCCCAGTGCTGGACTCAAACTTTTCATCTTCTCTGCCTCCCAGAATGCTGGGATCATGGGTGTGCATCTCTATGCCTAGTTTAATTTTTTAAAAAATAAACTCAGCTGGCTGACAGATGAGCAGTGTAATTGCAGGCTTCTCTTTCCCTTGCCAGTGTACCGTAAAGATTTCCCTCTATTACTAAGCAGTCCTTGAAAATGTGATTCTTCAATCATCTGTAGATTTTTGGCCTCAGAAAAGAGTGCGTATGTGATCAGCCTCCGTTGGTATTCAGGGCATTTCTGTGTCTTACAAATGAAGCAAATTATACGCAGCATTGCCGTGCACAGGCGTGCGTTTCTGTCTGGGACGTGACTCTGTCAAGGTGAGCGGGTATCACTGCGGCTGACGCGCCTGTCACCGACGGTGCCCGTCAGGTGGGGGGCTGTTCTCTGTTCTCACGTCCTAACGTGAGACGACCCACTGTTCCCTTCTTCTGCCCACCCAGCGGCCTCTGTGGTCTCTCTCACTCTCTCCCTCCTGAGGGTTGCTTCTGTCCCTCTCACCCTATTTCCCTACCTGACCTTATTGATTACAAATAAAAGCAATGCACAGCCAGGTTGTAAAACTTAGGCCTTCCTAGCTCCTTGACATTCCAGTATGCTTCTGGAAGTCAGGCTGTGTGTGCACCAGGACGGGAGTGTAGGTTGGGCACTGAGCATTTTGTGCGGCACAATCTTTCCACTCAGGATGGGCCTCAGGTGTGCTGGGTGCACCTGCAAATCCAGTCCTAATCCCTTCTCTGGGACCGGATGGCCTCCAGAAGGGGGCACAAACCCCACTTTGCCGCTAGCTTGTCCTAGGCGATGACTTCATTTCCAGGGGTTGGTGTCCCGCCCTCAGCATCATTTTTACAAACATCTCAGCAAACACAGCAAGAGCCCCATATTTCTTAGTGGTGAAATTGCGGGGAGATGGAGCGCCTGTTTTAATTCTGAAAAGCTCTTGCCAAACTGCGCACCCCAGGCGCTGCCTGCTTGGCCCTAGTGCCGTGAGCCCCGCACGGTTGAGCGTCGCCTGCGTGTCCCACACTGGGCCTTTTCTCCTGTGTCTTTTCTGCTAGCAACGTGCCAGCCCTGGGCTTTTTTGTTTAAACATGGCTCGGGATTATTTTTGGGAGGATAACTTCTACTTTACCTATCTGAACTTACCAAAGATAAAATTTTAGCACACTAACCAAAACCGAGCGTGACGGTGTTCTGTTCGGTCCTTGAGGATTCTGTGGATCTCCAGTAAGACCCATTGTACGCGGTCTTTCCCATCCAATATTGAATTAAGTGACAGTAATAAGACCGGGCATTCTTTCTCGTTCTGCCGCTAACAGGTGAAGTACATGGGGTCTTCCCACTAAGTGTGACTCTGCAGGCTGGGAGTAGGACACGTCTATTTTTTTTTTTTTTTTTTTTTTTTTAATGAAACTGTGGATGCTGGATTCTCAGAAATGCTTTTGGGTGTGGGTTAGGGTGATCCACCTGGGGGTTTTGCCCTGTGATGATTCATTTGTAAGGGAGGGGCCTGGAGATCCCTGGGGTTCCTCAGGCTTTATAAGGTACAGTGGGAGTGCTGTCCCGTGCCTGCCAGGCGGGGATGGAAGCCCAGCTTTTGCGCTCATCTTTCCTGACGTCACAGTGAGACAGAGGCCTCCAGTGGAGGACGCACAGCGAGGGCTCCCCGGCCCCCTCGTAGTGAAGAGGGTCCAGAATGTTGGGCTCTCCCTACGCTGTCTCAGGGGGCCTGGGCTGCGCCTCTTCAGGGCCTTGAGAGGGCGGAAGTCCAGGCTGCCACGTGGCCTTAGCTCACTGGCTTTGGATGGGTGCAGATTTTTCTGGAAGTTTTCTCTTTTTCTAGGCTGCCCATTCTTGGTCCTCTGGTCGGAGAGAACAGAGCCGCCTGGGGCTCTGCGAATCTTCCTGTGCCCAGCAGCGTTCCCAGGGATCGGGCTCCTCTGGGTCCTGGGCTGGGATATTGTGACGGTCTGAAAGAGACCCCGGGCCTGCTGCACACGGTTTCTCTTTGAGTCCCCAGGTCCCTAACAGCCTCTTCTGTCCCCTTTGTGTGGCTGTCCAGTGTTTGCTGTGTGTGGTCAGAGTTGTCCCTGTGAGGGAGACACAGAGGGGGGTGTTTATCCCATCCTTTCCTGACGGTGTGGATGGCATCTTCCCTGTGCCTGATTTCCCTGGAAGTGTGTGGAGCTCCAGGGGCCGGAAGTCAGGGCCTCAGGCCTCGGATGAGACTCCTTTTCCCTTCCGGTGCAGCAAGTGCCATGAGGGTCTCGGAGGAGGGCTCCCGCTCTGTCCCCCCTGGCCTTTGCCGCGGGGAGACGGAGAGGTCAGTTGTTCCCTAGGGGACCCTCTGTCTTCTGAGTTGGCTTTGGGCTGTGGGTCCTGCTCTGTCCGGGTGCTGTCGCCCACTTCACGTGGTCAGCCCCCACACTTCTTGCATTGTGCTGTCATAGGGGGTCATTCGCGTGTCCTGCGCCCCTCCTGAGGCCAGCAGAGGGCAGGGCTGTGGCGACCGCATCTCACCGTGGGCGGCAGGTCCGGGCTGCAGGGCCCGTGGCAGGGCTGTGCCCCGCAGAGTGGAGAATGTGACCGCATGGCTTTCTTTCCGCGTGGTCGCAGCGGCGGGCGCTGAGAACAGCCTCGGAAAAGCTCCGCAACCGCTCGTCCTTCTCCACCAACGTGGTCTACACCACGCCGGGCACGCGGGTCAACAGGTACATCAGCCGGCTGCTGGAGGCCCGGCAGCCCGAGCTGGAGATGGCGGACCTCAACTTCTTCACGCTCAAGTACAAGCACGGGGATCGGGAGCGCAAGGTGAGGCCGGGCGCCCGGCCGCCTAGGGTGGAGGACGGCTGCGTGAGTCCTGAGCCGCGGCCGGTGGGTTGATGGGTCTCTCTCCCCGCAGTACCACCAGCTGCAGGACGAATACTTCACCAGCGCCGTAGTCCTCGCCCTCATCCTGGCTGCCTTATTTGGCCTTATCTACCTTCTGGTAATCCCACAGTAAGTGCCGTTCTGTTGGGGATGTGGCAGGGTCCCCAGGAAGCTGTCTGGGTCTGCCGGGCTGGTGGCTATGGTTTTTTGTTTTTTTTTTCTTTCAGTCTTGGGGATTGAACCCAGACCTGCATCCCTATCTCTTTTTAAAATTTTTTATTTTGAAACAGGGTCTCCCCACGTGATCCCAGGCTTGAACCTGAGATCCTCCTGACTCAGCCTTCCACTAGCACTGAGATTACAGGCGTGCACCACCTCACCCAGTTTAGGTGCCCTTTTCATGTTCAAGACTCACCTCCCAGTTACCCTCCCGTTGCTTCTGGCACTTGGGGAAGGCGTTGGACCCCACCCCGTTCTTATTACTGAGACCGGTAGCTCAGCAAATCTACAGCATCCAGCGAGGGCCTCGTCACTGTGGATGTGAGCCCATGTATTTTCGGGTTCTCTGCCCGCGAGACCTGTACCCTGGGCTTACAAGAACCTTGGAGGGGGAGGCACACGGTGCTCTGAATGTCCCCGCTGGCTTCTAGGTTCACATGATTTTCAGAAACATTAAAATGAGAAAAAGTGGCCCCGGAAAAGGAAGGAAAATATAATGATTTTAATATTTAGCCATCCCATAGGATGGTGTGAATTCGGTATTTTTTGTTTTGGGGCCGGGAGGACCCCAAGAAGTCTCCACCTGTTCATTTTCCTCCAGACACACCTGTTCCTTAAGGAAACCCACGCGGGGAGCAGCGTCTCCTTGGGTTTCCAGAAAGCCCTCGGAGTCGTGGACTCTGGAGGCCGCCACAGCCCGGGGCCCTGTGTGGGCTTCAGACTTGCTCTGGAAACACCCTTCCCAGGCAGCCCGGCAGGGGGCGGCTTCTTCCCTCGGAGGAAAGCGCTCCAGGCGGCTCTGGGACCCATCTTGGAGCCCAGATGCCTTCCCTGGGAAAGAATCGGATCTGACCCAGCCCCAGGGGCCCCAGAGCAGGCAGTTGGGGGTCAGGATGCTGGGACCACACGGAGGGAAGAGGCCGGTTCTCAGGGAGCTGCTGGGCCCCCTCGCCAGGCCCTGCCCAGCAGTGACCCGTGTGTCCTCTGTCCCAGGAGTGTGGCCGTCCTGCTCCTGCTTGTGTTCTGCATCTGCTTCCTGGTTGCCTGTGTGCTGTACCTGCACATCACCCGGGTCCAGGTACGCGTGGCGTCCCCTCCCTGCACGTCCCCTGGTCCAGGCCCCCGGTGGCGTCTGCGGTCTGCTCACTGGAGCACCGTGGATGATTGCAGAATCTGGGCACAGCGGGCGGGCGTGGGAGGTAGGGTGGCTTCCAGCATGCAAGGGCGTCGGCTCTGCTCCATGGATTCTGTGCATCCCAGTGTCCATCCCAGGGTGTCACTTCCGGTGGACACGGGGTTATTCTCTGCATCGTTGTTGAGAACAATAACCTCTAGAAACAATGAAGTCTAGTTTTGTTCCTTTACTTCATCGTTGTTAAAGGTGCCATCTTGACTTTTTTCTAAATTAGGAAGATGTTGTTTATTTAGTTATTGCAATACTGGGAATGGAATCCGTAGTCTGGGCCTTGAGCTACATCCCCAGACCCTTTTTTATTTTTATTTTGAGGCAGGGTCTTGTTAAGTCACTAAATTGCTCGGGCTGGGCTTGAACTTTTGATCCTCCTGCCTCAGCGTCCCGGAGTGCTGAGATTGCGGACATGCACCACCGTGCCCGGCTCTAAGATGCTAAAAGCACACTCACAGCCCCTTGACTTCTGTGGGTTGAGCGACCTTCAGTTGGAAACCTCTGTCTTCAGCTAGACTGTTTTGATCACAGGCGCGGGCTGGCCGCTGCTGTTGCCTTCTCTAAGGTGCTCTGCGTACTTTTCAGTCTTTAGTTGTATTTTTAGCAGTGTGAGTGTTCAAAGGACTTCTTCCTTTTCTCCTTGAAACCATTTTTTGAATGTTTCCAGCTATCTTTGAAATAGAGGAGATTTAAAAATCAAATTTCTAGTAATTTAAGAATGAGATAGAATCTGTGTGAAGAATCTGATAAAACTTAACCACAGGATGTGAAAGAAGACACAAAATGCGGGGAAATTCCCACTGCTCCTGAGATGGGAGAATTCAAAGCCAAGTTCATCCTAGGCAGTGAATTCCGCGCTGATCACAGTCACAATGCCCGCAGGGGAGGGGTGCTGCTCTTTTTAATTTAAGGTCTTCAGTGTTGTTTTTTTAAACCGTGGAGAGTTCCTCACCTGGGAAACCCAGGACGTGTGTGTGGAGGATGCAGGACAGGGGAGGTGTGGGAACTTGCGGTTCGCCTTTGTCGGTTCTTGCTGCTTGTGCGGCTCTGCGCTGTGATCAGAGAATTTGAAAACAAAGCGTGTCTTCCCGCCCAGTGTTTTCCAGGGTGCCTGACGATTCAGATCCGCACGGTCCTGTGCGTGTTCATAGTGGTCTTAATCTATTCCGTGGCCCAAGGATGTGTGGTGAGCACCGTGGCTCGGGGGCGGGGGTGACGGATGGGGCTGCAGTGAGGGTCGGGTGACGACGGGAGCTCAGCCTTGGGGAGCAGGCGGGAGCTGCTGCCAGCTGGCCCCTGGAGGCTGTGAAGGCTGTGGGTAGCAGGATCCTCGGGGCCTGGCCGGGCCTAGCGGGGTGGTTCTAGCAAGCTTGGGGGTGCTGGGAGGCTGGGACTACCCCACCACCCCGCTTCCTGAGGGGCCACCAGCCCGCCTGGCCTTTCCTGACTGTGCTCTCGCTCCCCAGGTGGGCTGCCTGCCCTGGGCCTGGAGCTCAAAGTCCAACAGCTCCCTGGTGGTCCTGGCGGCCGGCGGCCGGCGCACTGTGCTGCCTGCCCTGCCCTGCGAGTCTGCCCACCACGCCCTGCTCTGCTGCCTGGTGGGCACCCTCCCGCTAGCCATATTCCTGCGGGTGTCCTCCTTGCCAAAGATGATCCTGCTGTCCGGGCTCACCACGTCCTACATCCTCGTCCTGGAGCTCAGCGGCTACACCAAGGCTGGGTGAGTGGTGACTTCTGACAGCTACGTAGAGCCGCTGCTGGTGTGTAGTGGACAGGGACGATGTGTACGCGAGGGCCTGAGTGGGGGGCTTTGCCCTTTCCCCTCCTCAGCCAGATTTGAGCTTTCAGACTTGCGGCCTGGGGCCCGGTCTGTCCTGATGACAGAGCCCTGGGCCGCCGTCTGCCCACCTCCAGGGTGTGATGGCCTCACACCAACTGGGGCTTCCTCCTTTGTTTCCCCAGGGGCGGAGCCATCTCCGGGCGCAGCTATGAGCCGATCATGGCCATCCTGCTCTTCTCCTGCACGCTGGCCCTGCACGCCAGGCAGGTGGACGTCAGGCTGCGGCTGGACTACCTCTGGGCAGCGCAGGCAAGACGGGCGCTCTCTGCCTCTGGGGCGGGGTGGGGAGCTGGCAGCTGGCGGGTGCGGGTGGCTGAGATGCTCCCGCCATGTGGCCCTCAGAGGCTGCTGCTGGGCTTGGCAGCAGGACTGTGCCCAGGGGAAGAGGGCACATGCTGCGTGTCGAGCCTGTGGGCGGCTGGGGTCAGCGCAGCTGTTTTGTGTGGCCGTGAGTTCCCCATCCCAGGCAAGGTGTGGCAGTGATGTTCAAGGGGAGGAAGGCCCTGAGGGCTGCAGAGTGGCCCTGGTTCCTGGCGGGTCGCTGGGAAGTGAGGGAATCCAGCTCTTGCTCCATCCCCTGCAGTTGGAGGGGCTGCGGGCAGGACTGGGAATCTGCATTTTCAACCGTTCGCGGGGATTCTGGCGGGAGGGCTGTGTGGACCCTCGTGGGAGACTTGGAGAAGCGGCGCTGGCATCTGCCCTGACCATCCGGGTTCCGGGCCGGGCTCGTGCTTTCTTCAAAGCAGTAGGTGGCGTTCTGCTCGGTAGTGAGCAGGTGCCAGCTGCTGGTGTTCCCTGAGCCCCTGCTGAGCGTCCACACGCAGAGACCGCAGGGCCACCTGGTGTCCACAGCAAGGAGGGCAGTGCCCGCACCTTCGGGGTGGGTCCCTGCTCCACTGCCCCACTGCCCCACACCCTGCAGGTCTGTGGGATGCGAGGCCAGGGTCCTCGGCAGGGTTACACAGGCCAGATCCTTTCTGTAGGGCTGTCTCACAAATCGCTCCACCCACCTTTCCCCACCTGCAAACACGCAGTAAAGACCCAGGAATCTGAGCTTTAGCAAGTTGACTTTTTTCTTTTTGAGACAGTGTTTCTCTAAGTCCCCCAGTCCCCCAGGCTGGGCTTGAGCTTGGTGATCCAGGCCGCTGGGATGACAGGCACGGCTTGGAGACGGTCTTCTCGAAGCGTTAGTGTTCCCTTGTGGGAAGGTGGAGTCACAGCGGGGAAGAAGGGGCCACGGGACATGCCAGGCCTGAGCAGCTGTAGGTGGCTGAGCCAGGATCCAGGGGCTGTCCATGCGACCCCAAGTGGGCTCCAGTCCCCTGGTGTGAGCAGAATCTGAGGCCAGCGAGTGGAGGGTCCGAGGCCCGGAGCCTCCAGTCTGCAGCCAGTGGGTGCAGCCTGAGGATGGCGGAAAGGAGCTGGGGCAGGGCCGTAGAGGCTCACGGCAGACATGAGCCGAGGGAGCCAAGGTTTCCCGGCTGCAGAACCCAAGGCAGGGGGCTGTCGAGTTGTGTTCATTCTTTTTTTTTTTTTTGGTTTTTCTCCGGTACCGGGAACCGAACTCATGACCTTGCGCTTGCCAGGCAGGCGCTTTTGCCGCTGAGCTAAATCCCCAGCCGAAGTTGTGTTATTCTTGCTGAGGCCATGGCAGCTGGCTGTGCAGTGAGGCCCAAGACCCTGGTCAGCAGCAGCAGCAGCGGCAAGGGCTGGGCCTGGCATAGGTGTCCTTGCCTGTGGCCCCAGCCTCTTCCCGAGGGCCAGTGATCGGCTGGACTCCCCGCTCCAGCGGTGAAATGGGGTGAGAACCCTAATCCAGGTTGCCTGGAATCACCAGAATTCCCCTCTTGGCGTTCTGGCTGCGGGCCTGTGATGAGAGAGGAAGGTGTGCTGGGTCTCTCTGGGCTCCGTCACCGTGGGTGTCCCTTCGCCGCAGGTCACTAATCCTGTTGGGCGGCAGCTCCTGTGGGTGCTCCCCGTTGGTCCGCCCTGACAGGAAGCGGGCACCAGGGCGCCTACTGGTCTGTACCGTTCAGGTCACCCGACCTCCCTGGTCATGTCATGGGGAGTAGCTGGCCGCAGGTGCCTCTGCCACACACGGGTTCCTGGAAAGGAGCCTTGGCCAGCTGCAGTGGCCGAAGCCACGCCAGGTAACCAGGTGGCCTCTTTAGGGTAGGCTGCGTCACCAGCCGCAGCCTCTGTCCCGCTCCGCCAGCTGTTAGGTGTGATCCGGCCAGGCGGCACCTGAGATTGGCCGCCCCTGCCGTCTGCGGACCCCTCTGGTGTAAGATCCTTTGGGTGTGAATCCCCCCAGAGCCAGGAAGCCCGAGACAGTGGCACCTCAGGATAGGGGTTGGTACAATGATTCCCCTGGGCAGCCTTGAACTCTGAGCAGGTGGGCTAGGCCTTGGCTGTGACCTCCACTTGCGGGATGCGGCCTGGGGGAGATGTTTTTTTCTCTTGTGTGTTGGCCTGGCCTTTTCTTGGCTTTGGTTGTTAAATGGTCATATTTGGTATTAAATATCATACTTAAATATTATTAGAGCCAATATTTGACCTCGCCATGTGATACGCTAGGCGACCATAGCCACTGTCGCCCACCGGCAAATTCAGTACATGGATGCCCCCAGCTGGCACCTAGGGGTCAGGAGGGGAGGGCTGCTAACCAGAGCACGCTGACATATTTTTTCCATAGACGTGTAACAAGCAATGTCACCTCACTTTCCTGTAACCCAGCCAAAGACAGAACTTTCTAGACTGTGTGTTTGCCTCCTGGACGTTCAGGCAGGTTGTACAGACGTTAGCTGCCCCACATCATTGCTCAATTTTCAGGCCAAAGGCTAGGTAGGTTAATTATTTTTGGAGACCAGCTTGGCCATACACACTTGCATAAATAGATGACATCCTCAACCTCTTCATCTTTAACCGCTGGGGTGTGTTTGTCCTCACACTGTTATTTTCTTTGATCTTGGTAGATAATCACCATGGCAATTATAACTTCAATGTTTATGCTCTTTAGTATCCATGCAGTTAACTCTTTGTCTGCCTGGAAGTTCCTCTTGTGAGGCTAATTCCCACTGTCTGTACAAGCACTGACTTTGAGAAGGAAAGTCACCCACAGAGTCCCACAGAGAGAGGAAGCCTCTTCTAGGCCCCCAGACCCTGACACATTAACCCTTGGGAACAAACTGGCTCCACACCCTAGCAATATCTTCCTCTGGTTTGGGGTCACCGTGATGCTGGCCTCATAAAACGAGTGGGGAATCTTCCGTGCTTACCAGTTTTCTGGAAGACTGTGTAGGACAGTGTAGCATTTCCTCCCCAATTGTTAGGGGATCTAAAGTCCTCTGGACCTGGAGGTTTTGTTTGTTTGTTTGTTGGTTGGTTGGTTGGTCAGGAAACTTTAAATGAAAATTCAATTTCTCTAAAGATATAAGGCTATTCAGGTTTTCCATTTCTTTTTGGAGGTTAGATCCTTCCTTGAAAGTTGTCTATTTTCTTGACGTAAAATTGCTTATAATATTCCCTCTGGTCCCTTTAATAGTGATAGAAGCTGAGCTGCATTATTTAACTTCTTTGGGTTACTTTGGATTTGATTTATGTTATTGGAATTCCTAGGTGATTTGAGCGAGTTGTATCTTCCTTTGTAAAATGGATGCTGTGTGTTATGAGTTTGCTTTTATGTTCTGCATTAGCTGAGTTCCACAAATATTAGCATTATATGTCCTTTCATTGTCCTTGGGTCCAAAGCATTTTCTAATTTTTCTTTTGATTTCCTCTTTGAACCCAAAGTTAAGAAGTATGCTCTTTAGCTGAGGATTTTCCCAGAGATCTCAGTTGTTGAATTCTAACCTAATTACATTGTGGCCTAAGAATACACACAGTATGCACTGAATCCTTTTCATTTTCTTGAGCCTTGTTGTATGCCCGTGTTCCCTGTGCCCTTGAACAGAGTGTGTGTCCTGTCACAGTTGGATGGTATGTTTTAGAAATTGCAATTAAGTCAACTGGTCCATGATGTCCTTCTTGATTTTCTGTCTGGTTGCTCCCTACATTTTTGAGAGGGCTGTTGGGATTTCCAGTTGTAATTGCAGGTAGTGGAACTTCTTGCACTTTGCTTTGCTTTGTGTAATTTGATGATCTGGTATATCACTATGTAGAATTATGCCCTGTAGGTACATTCGCCCCTTTATCACCCTCCCTTCCCGTACCATCCTTAGTTCTGTGGTCTACTTGGATGCTACTAAAAGGACCCCAGCTTTCTGTTTACATCTTCCTCCAGCATTTTATCTTTAACCACTTTGTCTTTTTATTTAAAGGGGATGTCTTCTAAGCAACAGAGCATTGAATCTTGCTTTTTTTTTTTTATGCAGTGTATCAGCTTCTCCCTTTTAACTACTAAGACCGTCTGCAGTGTAATTATTGATATGACTGGACTGTAGTCTGCCATCTTGCTGTGTCTTATTGATCCCGTTGTATTTTGTTTCCTTATTCATCTTTTTCTGACTGTCTTGGGTGAATTATTTTTATTACTCTACTTATTCTTTTTGTTATTTTTACTGTGCTTATTAGCTGTATCTCTTTACTGTATTAATTTAATAGGTATGTAACATAGTCACCGCCCAGTGATGGCTCTGACCTCACACATAATATAAGAAACTTATGACAGAATATGTCTACAATGGATTGAATATCTGTGTCCCCCAAAGTCCCTACGCTGAAAGCCTGTTTATTATGTACCATGACATAGTTTCTTTCATGCTTTGTGTGCTTGAGTTTTGTTGTGTTTCATGGACCTGTGGGTTTATAATTCCATAATACATATGAAGGTCTTAGCACATTTCTTCCAATATCATTGCACCACCTCAGCTGGAGATATAGCTCAGTGGCACAAACACATATCTGGCAATCGCAAGGTCTTGAGTTCGATTCCCAGTGCAAAAAAAAAAAAAAGAAAACCTAAATATTCTACCATCTCTCCCTTTCTCTCTGTCTTTTTCAGGAATCCTCATTACACATCATGAGGCCGCTGGAAGTTGTCACACACTGTACCAATACTCTGATCGTTTCTTTTGTTCTTTTTCCCTCAAGTTTGGTAATCTTTTCTACTGCAGTGTCTAGTCACCGTTGGTTCCATTTTTCGTGTCAGATGTTACAGTTTTCCAGAAGTTAGGTATGAGTCTTTTTCATGTCTTCTTTGTAGTTAACATGGTTTCTTTTCTTGAATGTATGGAATGCATTCCTGGGAACTATTTTGTTACCTTTGCCTAACTAATGTCAATAGTATCCAAGTCCATGTTGATTTTTAAAACATTATTGCTTCTTGTATTTTTTGCAGTACATGCGTGTCGCACATAATGTTTACAGTCCTGTGTGGCGTTTGTACGTGACGTGACACATCTTAATTCCTTTTTCATCTGCTGTCTCTTCCTTCCCCCATCTCTTGATCCCCTTCCCCTAGAGAAAGATCTGTCTCCCTGCTTCCTAGTATCTATCTTTCATTTTGCTCTTTATTTATACTTTAGGTTTTTCATGAAAGAGAAACCATGTGGTGTTTAAGCTTGTGTGTCTGATTTCACTCAACAGTATGTCTCGAGATGCATCCATATTCCTACAAATGACTCAAGTTTTTCTTCTTTATGGCAGAGTAGTATTCCATTGTGTGTAAATACATTTTCTTTATTCATTCATCTGCTGATGGACAGTTAGGTTGCTTCCAAGATTTGGCTACTATGAGTTGTGTTGATTTGTTTCTCTTTTCACTGTGAGCCTTCAGGGAGGAGGAGAAACCACTATAGTCTATTCTGGGGGATCCCCTTGTGTTCTAGCCCTTCTTGACATCAGGGGTAGGGGTTTAGATGCATGCACCCCAGCCAGCCTCCCTGGTCTGGGCCACCTTCACCTTGGGTGCATCCACCCAAGGGGCAGGGAGCCCAGCAGAGGTATGAGTCACTTCTGACCTGGGTGACCAGGTGCTCCCCTGAAAAGCAGTTACAGAGAGGTGACAGGAAATCATCAGCCCAAAGTTAAAGGCCCAACCTTCTACCCCTTGGGCCGAAAGTGCTCGATCTTAGCTCCTCCCTATGCTTGGAAAGTTCCTTTCCTCCTGAGCTTCTCCCCAAAGCGGTGCTTGTCAGAGCTGAGGAGCCCCAAAGAGCGAGGAGTCCCCTGGAAGGACGCTAGCTGATCACGGGTGCCGCAGGGTTGAAGAACCAACTGGCAGAGCCCGTCAAACTCCGGGCCAGGGCCACGGTGCAGGCTGTGCCCCTGTCAGGAGTTCAGTGCTGACCCTCGGGGCTGGGCCGGGGTTGCCTGTCTCGCTCATTAGGCCGAGGGTGCTTTGTCAGGGTCACAGTGAGAGCCACAGCTAGCGCCAGCGTCCCAGGCAGTTGTCACATGAGGCTGTTTGCTGTTGTTTTGTTCTTTTTCCGAAATGACAAGCACACAGGTCTGTGACCTCTCTGGAATGTCACATCGGGGTTGATCAGTGCACCCGGGTTGATAATTTCTAAAATGTAAGCACGAGTGAGAAGGAAGGGCTTTTGCAAGAGTCTGCCCCCGAGAGAGCAAACATTCTGAAAACACAAGTTGGGGTGCACCTTGCGGCTCTGTCGACAGTATCTGTGCTGCCCAAAGCAATGCTTTTCTTAAAAATGCTGGCGTTTTCCTTGCTGGTTGGAAAATCTTATAAATAGAGAATTTCATTAGATTTTTATCTTATTTGTTAAAAAAAATATAACAAGACCACTGAGGATTTCCTGCTTAGTTCATAAAAATAACTGGTGTGGGACAGTCGAGTGTTTATCAGTCAAATGGTAACAAAAATCTTTGCATCTGTGAATCTACGAATGAATTAAGAACATAAATAACAACTCAGAAAAGACAGCTGTATCCCAACTGACATAACCAGATCTTTTCAGTCACAGTTTGATCAGCCAAGATTTTATTTTGAATAGAAGCTTCTTCAGTTGCATTGTTTTCACTAAAAGGTTACTAACATTAACATAGTATTTTGGAGAGGGTAACATTTTTGTGCCACTAATAAGTAGAAGAGAATTGTTATGTTTTTAATTCTTTTTTTTGTTTTTTGTTTTTGGTGTTTGTTTGAGAACAGGGTCTTGCTATGGTGTTCAGGCTGGCCTTGAACTCACTATGTAGATCAGGCTGGCCTTGAACTCTGAGTGGTCTTCCTGCCTCAGCCTCCCAGATGTATCTAAATATATATATGTGTGTGTGTGTGTATGTGTGTGTGTGTGCATGTATAATTTCCTTCCTCTTTATCCCCCTCTCATTCAACAATTTGCTTTGGTGCACGTCCGAGCGTGCTGCGTCGTTAACGTGTAACTAGTGCTGTGTGTCGTACGGAAGGAGACACGTAGGGAATGTAACATTGACAGGAAGGCCCCGAGGTGAAAAGACAGCTAGAGGGTGGAAACCAGAGGCTGTGGATCTTTGAGACCAAGACCAAGCCACGGTGGTCGCGGGAGCCTTGTGGCCTGCCCCAAGCAGCGCTGTGCTTTGTGCCTGTCACTCTTCTTCCAGCACAAGCTGTGGCCCCGAGCCCCTTTGGGGCCTCCCGTGGCCATGTCCTGCTGTTCACAGGCTGAGTGTCAGCCTGTCTGGGTGGCTAGCGCCTGGCTCTGCCGGACCTGGAGGTTAGGACCCGAGGTGCCTTCCTCATGTCCCCGTCTGCTCCTCACCGTGCTGTCTTCAGGGGTTCTGTCCATTCGCTGGCCTGGTTTGCCCAAAGCACATCAGCTCGGGGGCCCCCTGCCCGACCTGGCCCTGTGCCCTTTGCCCAATTCGACGCTGATCCTAAAACTCTCACCAAGAACTGACTTCACTTTTTAGGCCTTAAAAAATTGGGCAGTTTTGACCCATTTTATTCAAGGATACTGTAGCAGCACGGGGAGAAGCCGCTGGCATTTGCGCCCTGGCCCCCAGGTGGGACATGGATCCCTGTGCTCTTGGCCTTTGGCGGACCCGCCCTGGGCCTTCTGGGAGGACACTGCTGTGTGTTGCCTCCTAAACTTGGGAAGCTGGTGCCTATAAGTGGGCACCACAAGTAGCTGTGAGTCAGGTTTTTGGAAGGGATACGGAGGAATTCGGGGCCTGTAATGCAGATAGGGCCTTGTCTCTGAGGAGCGATGCCCGTCCTGGCCTCTGGTGCTCATGAGCAGGGCAGTCCCTGTCACTCCCATCAGCTGCTGTTGAGCAGGCTGGGCCTGGGCTGCTCCTGCTGTCCCCTGCCGAGCCCTAAGGCCCTCAGGTTCTGGAGCGGGTGGTGGGCAGAGCTCTTGGATCCACCCCACCCGGGTCCCCGAAGCCTCTGGCCTCTGTGCTGGAGACATGTGAGCTCTCGTGGAGGCTGGTGAGGTTCCAGATAACACACTGGACCTGAGGAGGTGCCCCTGCCTGGCACTGGGCACTCTGAGCAAGGCAGACCTGGGGGCCTCTGGGGACAGGGCAGTGGAGGGGCATGTGAGTCTCAAGAAGACCCCATGGCCTGGGTGCCCAGGTTGACTCTGGAGATGAGGGAGCCACTGTCGGTCCTTTGGGGTGGAGTGGCCACTTTGGTGGATGTCCCTGAGCCCCCAGCCTGTGAGGGGTTGAGCCCTCTGTGTGCTGGGAGGAGGGGAGCCCCGGTGTGGGCCGACAGCACCCCTAGGGTTGGGCGTGTGCGATGCTGTGGGTGCGGTGAGGGCGGTCGGGGACGCAGGACCCTTCCCCCCCCAGGCAGAAGAGGAGCGAGATGACATGGAGAGGGTGAAGCTGGACAACAAGAGGATCCTCTTCAACCTGCTGCCGGCCCACGTTGCACAGCACTTCCTCATGTCCAACCCCCGGAACATGGTGAGCGCTCGGCCGGCCGTGACACGGGCCCTTCCGGGATCCGTCGGGTGCCACGGTCTGGCCCAGAGCGCCCTTTCTCTGCTCCACTAGCACCTGGAGGCCTCTGTGGCCTGCATGCGACTTAATTGAGCAGGCTTAGCTCCTGCGCCTAGCACAGGGGACATCCGAGAGCTCCTGCTTGCCTGACCCAGGCTGATGGGTTTGCTTTCATTTACTGTTTTTCTCTGTGATCATGAAAGGGAATGTAGCATTCACTGTACCCGAGAGAGAGACCAGGCAGTGGCTTCAACAAGACACGAAGGAGAGAAGAAAGCCATTCTCAAGGCCCATGATTAGCCAGTACATAGCTTCAAAAGCAGAGCACGCGGGCTGTGGGGTGACATCCTTTGTCACATCTTTTAGGAGTGACTGGAGAGTCCTTCCCCCTTTTTGGTGCCTGGCAGGTGTGGGGTGACCAGTGCCCCTAGCAGAAAGTCTCCTAGCGAGTCTCACAGAGGGCCGGCCACAGTGGCTTCCTCAGCCGAGACCTCCCAGACGCAGTGCAGAGCTGCAGCCAGCGGTGTGGGACAAGGCAGATGTTTGTGACGCCCTGCGTTACAAGCAGAGAGGTCTGGGTGCTATTTAGGTCCTTTAGGCAGGAACGAAACCTCGAGGTTCAGCTTTGACTTGAAGTATGGGTGTGCTCAAAATATACAGTGAGTCTTTGCGTATAAAAAGTATTATTACAGTAGAAGACACAGTGCCCTAACTCCTCCCTCAAAATCCTAAACACACGTATCCCATCGTTCCCAAGCATCTGTAGTTAGGCTGTCCTGGCTGCCTTGATGTCCTGAATCAATTCACAGCATTTCCCTGTCGTGGTCACTTTCACTTTGGGGAGGAGCCAGAGGTCGCCTGGTGCCAGATCTGGTGAGTAAGGTGGACGAGGATGCAGCGTCGTGATTTTAGGAGCCCGCCTTTCTGTCCAACGGCGCTCGGCAGCAGCATTCACCGTATGTCTAATCACACCTTGTGAAGACACTCAGGGTAGAGGACACCAGGACTGCTTCAGAAAGCGGCAAGGATGGTGGTGTGCATGTGTTCAAAGCGAGGAGAAGCATTTTGAGGGGATTGACGGCAACGTGTCTTTTACTGTAATTCTTTAAGAACTTATTTAAACTCACACCAGAGTTTTTATCACCCTCTTGTCTGCTGGTGCTCCTGCTCACACACCCTGCAGAACGGATGGCTTTCCTGAGGTCCCTCTCTCCACTGCCCTCCTCCCCGCAGGGAGGACAGAGCTGCGTGTCCTGGAAACCCCGGGCCACCCTGTGTGCGGACCAGGCTTGGTGCAGAGCCTGCTGACCCCTGTGTCCTTGCAGGATCTGTACTACCAGTCCTACTCCCAGGTGGGGGTCATGTTCGCGTCCATCCCCAACTTCAATGACTTCTACATCGAGCTGGACGGCAACAACATGGGGGTGGAGTGTCTGCGGCTGCTCAACGAGATCATCGCTGACTTTGACGAGGTGAGGCCTTCTGCACCGTCCGCTTTGGGGTGGTGAGGCTGTTCCTTCTCCCGGCCAGATCCTGCAGGTATCTGCCGTGTCCTCTGCCGTGTCCCCTTCTCTGTAGATGGACAGGGACCAAGCGGGGCCTGAGAAGCGCATACACTCTATCTCCTTCTGGGTCCAGTTAAAGAAGAGGGTCTTGGCGCTAGGCTGGGGGCCAGGTCCTACCCTGGGGCTTGACCTCTGCAGTGGCGGGGACAGCATGGTGCTTCCTTGGCTGGCTGTCCCTCTGTTCCCGTTGCTGGAGACTCCATCCTCCCAGGTGGCCGTGGGCCCTGCTGCAGGAACAGAGGCATGTCTTGGGCATCCCTGCTCCAGGCTCCTGTCTAATGCAGCCCTAGATCTTGCCTGGTGCCAGAGCAAAGAGGCCAGGGTGCTGTCCAGGGTGTGTTCGTTCTGTTGTTGCCCCTGGTGGCTAAGGGCTGCAGTGACGTTTCTCAAATGTCTCGTGCTGTGTAACTGTTTTGTGTTTTATACAAAGCTCATGGACAAAGACTTTTATAAGGACCTAGAGAAGATCAAGACCATCGGGAGCACCTACATGGCTGCAGTGGGGCTGGCACCCACCTCGGGGACCAGGGTGAGTAGTGTCCAGGGCTACACACTGGGCCCGGGTCCAGTCTTGCCCAGTGAGTTCTGGGTAGATCGTCAACTGGAGGGCCTTCCCCTGCCTCAGGTTAGGGGAGCAGATCCTCGGCTGATTTGGCAGTGGCTGGTTGTCAGCGGACGCAGTCTCCTAGCGAGTCTCACTGAGGGCCGGCCACGGTGGCTTCCTCAGCCGAGACCTCCCAGAGCCCCGCTGTGCCCCCTTCCTGCCCATCGGCACCCCCACACACTGAGTGTTCCCCAGAGCAGAATCATGAAAGTGAAAGTGAGCAATCTGGATAGATTAAGAGCTATTAATGAAACAGATCCAATCACTAATAATCTTCCAACTCGGACATCGGCAGGCCCAGGTGCATTCCCTGGGGGAGTCTTCCAAACATTTTAGGAAAAAAATGATACCAGTTATGTACAGTCTTTTCCAGAAGGTAGAAACCGAAGGCACATTTCCTAACACATTCTGCGAGGTCACCCCATACCTAAAGCCAGACAAAAACATCGTAAGAAAAGAAAACTGCAGACCAGTCTGCCTCAAGAACAGGCATGCATAAGTCCTCAGCAAACATTAGCAAATTGGATCCAGTGACGAATAGGAAGAATTGCAAACCGAGACCTAGTGGGATGTCTCCAGATACCCAGAGCAGGCTCTGCCTTCCAAAATGAACGCATGGGATTTATCACATCAGCAGGATAAAGGAGAAAAACCATGGAACCATATTAATGATGCAGAAACATCATTTACTGCATCCTACACTCATAGTAAAATGTAGGACTAATAAAAGTCCCTTAAAAAATAGAAGTTGGAAACTTCACAGTTGTCAGTGTTTCACAAAATAGAGGACCTTGTCCCACCAACACCGGTGTGAGGCTCTAGGGAGAAAGCTGCTCCTGACAAATCCCCATCCTTGTCTTGCTGCCTGCAGTGGCAGGTGACAGTGCTCTCCACATACGAGTCTGGATACGTGTCTCACACTCCCAGGGGCTGCTGCGCCCCTCCCCAGGCACAGCCTGGGCTCTCAGCCTCAGTTGTCGCCTGTACAATGGGATAGTAAATGCATGCCCAGCCAAGTACCAGGAGATCCTAGGGCTATGGTGAGAATTAAATCCCAGTCCCAAAGCCAGTGCAGCCAGTCCCTGCACCCTTCCTGCCCTGGTACCCCCAAAAGTAATGCTCCTATCTGCTTGCGTCTAGGCTAAGAAGTCCATCTCTTCCCACCTCTGCACGCTGGCTGACTTTGCCATTGAGATGTTTGATGTCTTGGATGAAATTAACTATCAGTCCTACAATGACTTTGTCCTCCGAGTTGGTAGGTGGCTCTGGGGATGAAAAATGCCTCCTACCCTGTGCACGAGCTAGGACAGTGTTGTCTTGCGGAGCAGCTTGTGGAAGAGGGGGCAGTTCAGAAAGGGCTTTAGGATCAAAGATTAGGTCCAGCTCATGAGACACAACATACCTGAAACTCCTGCTAGGCAGGAGTCCAGTGGAACTGGATATTTATGGCCCCAGCCACTCCTCCACACAGCCCTTCCTTCTGGAACAGGATTCTGCAGAGCCAGAGGTCTGTGCTTGTCTTGTGACTCAAACACCTCCCGGCCTTCACGACAGACCTTGTCCTCTTCCCTGGCACGCAGGCCCCGACCCGAGATGTCCTGGTAGGACTGGTGGTCTGGGGACGTTCTGTTCCTCCCTTTATCACCACGGAACCAGCCTGCAAGCCTGCTGCTGTGCCTCCGTGGTCGGACTTGCTAGAGGGTGGACAAGGGTCCTCCGGGCCTTTGTGGATTCCCACTGGCTTCCCGCACTTCTTCCCGGGCTGACCCCAGGGACCTGGGCTCCAGGGGAAGTTACTCAGCCAAGTTCAGAAAAGTCAGTCCGCACACACACAGAGGGAATGTAGCGTGGGTGTCTGCTCAGCCTGGACAGCGCTGGTCACGGAGGGCTGCCGTGGGCTGTGCTGGGGCTGCCCGCTGTCCCACGGAGGCCAGGCCAGGTGGCACAGAGCCTGCACCCCATTCACTGAGGAGGAAACCCAGGTGCAGAGGGTGAGCACTTGGACAAAGATCTCCCAAGGGCTGAGTCAGACATGTGCACCTGGGCCTGGTGACCATGGCCTGGTGACCGAGCTGTGGGAGGAGGGGGCCCTGTTCCCAGAGCACCCGAACGCTGAGCTCTCTTCTGGAACCCACGCCTCATGGCAGAAGCAGGGCTGCACTCTAAGAAAAGCCCGGGAGCTGCTATAAATAGATCGGGGAAAGGGAATGCACCTGGGGACACGCTGTGGTCACAGAGGGTGCAGTGTCCCGGTGGCCACGAGGAGCAGGGCTCCAGCCACACACAGGTGACGTGCCAGGGCCTGGGGTGGTCCTCAGGCTTAGGAGCCGCTCTGCCAGCCTGTGCGTGGCAGCGTGCAGGAGACCATGTGGGACAGGCGGCCACCGGCCCTCTGTGAGGCTGGGGACGGAGCCCGGCTCCGGGTGACGCAGGTGACCTAGAGAACAGGACTTGAGGGGAGCAGCACAGGGGCGGGGTCGCATGCCCCACGGAGCCCCCGCCCCGCAGGTGACCACAGACCTGCTGTGACTTTTCCAGGCATCAACGTCGGCCCAGTGGTGGCTGGAGTGATTGGTGCGCGCAGGCCCCAGTACGACATATGGGGGAACACGGTCAACGTGGCCAGTCGGATGGACAGCACGGGGGTTCAGGGCAGAATCCAGGTCAGTTCACTGTGGAACCCCAAGACATAGTGCCCATTCTGCAGGTGTGGAAACTGAGGCTCTGGGAGCCGGTGGTGACCCCCAGGTCTGCAGCCAGTAGGCAGCACTGAGAATGCTGTGTGTTGGGGTGACAGCCCCTGGAGGAACCACCTGCGTCCTGCAGTTTGATTTTGCTGTTTGATTTGTGTGTACCGCAGCCCTGGGGGTCACAGAGGTGGGCCCCGAAGTGCGATGACCTGGCTGCTCCATCTCCCTCCTTGTCCCGGGGCCTGGGGCCATGCTGGTGTAGGAGGGAAGGGTCTGGTTTGCCTGTGTGTGAAGAGTGGGCACTGCTCATGCCCGCTGCATCTGAGCAACTCTAGGCCCCTGGGGTGGGACAAAACCAGTGGCCCTGCCTCCTTCTCAGCGCCATTGGTAGTGGCCTTTGGGTCTCCTCAGGGCGGGGCTGGCTCAGCTCTTAGAGTTCCCTTAGAACAGCTCAAAACCTGCCCTGAGCTGCACTCAGAGAAGGCAGGTGGCTGCCTGGAGCCTTCTGCTCCCTGCCTGGGGACTGCAGGTCTACAGGGCTTTGAAGGGACAGCTCTGTCTCTGGGGACTGTGGGTGGGGCTCTGACACAGACCGCTGGTGGGCAGGCTGGCTGACCCCACCCTCAGTGGCCACTGTCACCCTGCTGTGTCCTGCTGGGAGCTAGGCCAGTCCCTACACCTGGTTCTTTAACTTACCGTCAAGTCTCATTGGCTCACCCAGGGACCCTGTGGGGTGTGCGTATTTGCCCCAGTGTCCGAGCAAGATGCCAGGCCCCAGCATCCAGTGCTATGGCCTCATTCTGCTGTAGAGGCCACCAGGCTGGGCACTCAGCTGTCCCCCGCTGAGTGTCCACTGCGCGCCATTGCAAGGTCAGGGCTTGTGGGACGGAGCAGCTCCAGAACAAAGCAGAGACAAACCAGCTTGTGCTCTGCTGTCTTCTGCGGCTTGGGAGTTCTCTGGGCTAAAACACTAGCTGGGGATCTGAGAGAAAGGAGAGTTAAGAGATGTTCCCGTTGTCCCCGGCAGTTCGCCTCCACCCTCTGTGTGATGTGACCCCCACCCCAGGGCCCCAGAGGCAGTGGCACCCAACCCTGGTAACCAAGGGCGCCCCTCCCACTCGTGGGATCGGAGGCTCAGAGTCCACCATGCCCAGGGCCAGCTCGGTCCGCTGCCTTCCTGCCTGTGGTGAGGGTGTAGAGCGGCTTCGGTGGCCCACCCACCCCCTGGTGCTGGGTCCCTGCTCCCTGTCTGGGTGTCCTCAGCCCAGTGGCCCCAGCTGGGTTCCATTTGTCCAGGGAATGGGCCGTAGGATTCCCTGGGCTACCCCTTGGGCCCCTCCACATCCAGGTCCTGCCTCCCAGACCCCTACTGTGTACGCTGAGGGTGACGCTGGCTGCTCTCTGCCAACAGGTGACAGAAGAGGTCCACAGGCTGCTGCGGAAGTGTCCCTACCACTTCGTGTGCCGAGGCAAAGTCAGCGTCAAGGGCAAGGGGGAGATGCTGACCTACTTTCTTGAAGGCAGGACTGATGGGAATGGCACCTGCCCCCGGCCCAGGCACCTGGAGCGGAGGATGTATTCTTATGGCGGAGCCGGAGGCCAGGCCAGACGGCCGCCGCTGTGCCCTGCAGCTGGCCCGCCAGTCAGGGCTGGGCTCCCCCCGGCACCCCCTGGCCCATACCTGCCGTCCACAGCAGCAGGGAAGGAGGCTTAGTGGACCCATGTGGGCCGCTGGAGGCGCACGCAGGGTGATGTGGGCCACCATGGCCCCAGCCGGGACCAGCCGGATGAGCAGAGCAGGGAGCCGTGGCCGGGCTGCAGAGGAGTGTTGTCCACGTGTGGCCCGGGGCCGACAGGAGCTATGCCCGCACCACCCCGCCCTGCCTGGGTCTGGCCGGCATCGGCACTGGGACCTTCAGGACGTCTGCCGTGGAGGTCTGGCTGGCAGAGGGGCAGAGGAACCGTCGCAAGTGAGCCCCAAGATGGTGCCAGGCGAGAGGTCCAGGTCCACACGGGCCTGAGGGTGGCAGACAGGACGGTGTGGGGAGCCTGCAAAGCCACCTCTTGCTGCCCGGGAGCGGGGCTGCTGGCTTTCCTGAGAGCAGGTCCACGCTACAAGCCAGAGGCGGGTCTTCTGGGTCCTCGGTTGTCGGCCAGCACCAGCTGCTTGTCTCACCTGTGTGTCCCCTGCCGCTGCACCTGGCCTGTGACAGGTGGGCAGGCGCCACCTGCATGTCACTGTGGTTCCGCAGAGAACTGGCACCTGTCCTGCCTGCCTCCAAGGTATGTGGGGTCCTGGGTGCTGGATGAGAATCCAGGTTCCATTTGTGTGGAGAGCATGTGACTGTCACACCCACGAGTCAGGCTCCTGGAGGGAAGACGTCGTTTCCGGCACAGCCGGCCCTCCTGGGGACGTGACTTGCGAAGCGTATGGTCCTGCGTCCAGGTGGCCCGGCTTCAGTGTGCAGAGAGCGGCTGCAGTGGCCCCATTGATGCCTGGGACCCCCACCTGTGCTCCTTGGCGGCCACATGGAGGAGAAGACGGAGGAAGTGGGTGGTGGGGAGCAGGAGAGTGGCAGGAGGGGCCTGGCCGGAGTTGCCCCAGAAGCCTGGCTCCTCGGGAGCTCTGTCCTCCTCCTCCTGGGGAAGGATGCAGTTGAAACAAGGTTGGGGGTGGCCCAGGCAGGCACGTTGGCAAGGGGACATGCAGAGGAAAGGCGGCCGGCATAGACTGTGGGGAGCAGGTGGGCTGAGCCCTGCTCCCTCCTGGGGTCCCTCGCACTGCTCCCTGGGCTCCCCCTGTTGCCTCTATGTGGGTCCCTGTTCAAGTGGGTGGTGGTGTCCCCCGGACCAGCCTGGGTTACTTGTGTGGCCGGCAGGGGCAGCAGGGGCCTTGCCACAGCTCGGGCGGTCACTAGGGTGATGCTTGGGGCAGACGGACCCCCGGGCCCTGTGGGACTCGGGACAGAGGTAGGGAGAGGCTGCGGTCCTGACAGCTCCATGTGTGGGAGTTGCTCTCGGGCTTTCCCCTGACTTCGGGGTGTCCATCAGAGATTGCGGGCAGGCTCCAGGCTGCTGCGAGGGTTCCTGAGCTCTGGCAGCCTCATCTGGTCATCAGCTGTGACCAAGCGAGCCACACCTGACAACCTGCCCAGGGCGTTGCCGCCCTCCTCTGGCCCGTGCCTCCTCTCTGCTCCCGTCTGTCTTGGCTTTGGGGTGCCTGGCTCATCCTGTCATCCCCTTGCCGCTGGGATTTTCTCATCTGTCTGTCCTTCCTGACCAGATGTGAAGGGCTGGCGCAGGGCACGGGGCAGGGGGCGAGCCGGGATGTGGCAGGGCGATGAGGGGGCTGATGGGAAGGGCAGGGTCCCGGCGCAGCCCGGTCACATTCTGTTCCCGTGTGGCTGCCGGGCTGTCCGGGCGGGGGCAGAGGAACGGCCACAGCCCGTGTGTGCTCCACTGCACAGTAAAGGGGCTTTGCAGGTAGGATAGGGGAGGGGCGTGAGGGCAGGGGGGGACCCTTGGACTGTCCGGCTGAGCCCGCCATGGCCACACGGCCCCTCAGAAGTGGAAAAGGGGACAGGAGAGACGCAAAGCATGGCCAGGGCTCTGATGGAAAATGAGGGGACGCAGGACAACTCAATTGCCCCCAGCCCCTGCTGGCGAGAAGCAGGGACATCGCTCCCACCACCGCAGGGAGCGGAATTTGGCCACAACCTGGATGGACAGCGGTAGAGTGACCCAGTGCTGCCCGGAGGAGCTCAGCCCAGTGACGCCTGGATCAACCTCTGACACTCAGAGCCAAGTCAGCTGCCATGCAGGACCAGGGCCTGGGGTGCACGCCTCAGCATGGCTGCGTGTCCCCCAGCCCTGGCACCAGACTGTTCTGCAGGGCCGCCTGGAGGCCTGGCCGGGGCAGACATCCCCGTGTCCATCAGCAGCAGCTCCAAACCCTGCCTCCTTCCTCCGAGGTCAGGAGCCGCACTCAGCCATACGTTCCTTGGGGTTTGGTGAAAAACCACTTACTTCCTTTTTATTTGTGATAAACCTGTATTATATTGCCTTATTTATTTTTAATCTTGTACAGTATTCATGTACAAACGTTAGAGCCATTTGGGTAGGAGTCTCTCAAAATTATTTATTTTAAGATGCTCTGTACATAGTGCACCACTTACAGGTGCTGCCTGTCACTTGTACCAAAAATGAGGAAAAGCCCGGCTCTGCCCGGTTAGCCCCGCGCTCTGCGACGTCATGGCCCTTGGGAAATGGCCCTGCGTGTCCCCTCTTCGCATGCCTCCCGTGCCTGCCACTGTAGAGTAGAACACAGCCCCAGAATGCTTCCAGATGCTTCCATGGGCCGCGCCCACCCGGGCCGGTCTGCTCCTGGGGTGCCCGTGTCCTGTAGGTGGACGCCCCACACTCCCAGCAACCCAGTTGTCAGCCCGTGATTCTCAGACTCCAGAGCCATGGGGCGTCCCGACCCTCTGTCATAGATGCAATAACTGTAACTCGATGCTATAGAGCCCAGTCTGGCCCAGGCAGATTGGCCTTTCAGAGACAAGCCATGCACGGGAGTTTGCCCAAGGGACCTGCGCTTCGCAGAGCACTGCTGTCCCACTGGCCTCTCCGTTCCTAGGGTCCAGCTCCGCATCCCAGGCCAGTGAGCAGATGCAGCCCGGGTCCCCGTGCTCCTGCTGAGAGCAAGGAGGCGGCAGGGCCCCATCCCCTGTGAAGCCTCTTTCCACCCTCAGTCTTAGTGCAGCTCTTCCATGACCAAGGGCGTCTGGCATTAGAAAGGTACCATTCCCGGGGCTGCCTGTACTACACCGCACCACCCGAACCGGACACCCATCTTCTCCGCGTGAGCCTGATGTGGGCGGGAAAGGCCGGGGCACGCAGGTTGATATAGAGGATTGGGACCCTGGGCTTGGCAGGACACAGCCAAACTCCAGCCATCTGGGTTTTATTTGCGTTTCATAGGAAGACTATGCTGTAGTCCTAATAGCAACCTGGAAAGACTGCATTCTGCTTGCTGTAAGAGTCAAAAGAAGTGGTTTGGATTCCAGCATCAAGGGTATGTGTGGGGCACCGGGCAGGGCTGCCTCCGGGACCCTCTCATCTCGGGGACTTTGTTCCCAAGCCCCATGAGGCTTGAGTCCAGCAGGGAGGTTGGTGTGCAAGGCAAGCATGGGTGACCGGCAGGGAGGGATGGCGCACCTTCCACACTCGGTGTCTCCCACAGCACGGGTCCCCCAGGGGTCCCGGAAGTGCTGCTCGTGCTTCTCAGTCTGAGAATGTGTAGGTCTAAAGGAACCCTGGAAGTGGATGTGATTGTGGCTTCAGAATGGCTTCTATTTACACACATACATACATGCGCACGTGCACGCACACGCACACGCACACGGCCTTCTTAGAGGCAGTTGGGTTTTGAAATATCTGGCTTGGTGAAAGTAACAAAGAGCACAGTGCAGGTTTTTGTCAGGCGGGGAGCACCCCTCTTCCCTCCTGCAGTTGCCCTGAGAGCTCATACCATGTCCCTCGTCATTCCCACTGGTCCCCAGGTTTGAGAGCAAGTGTGTGACGGCTTCCTCAGACAGTGTCCTGGGGTCATTTTCCTTTGCCCTTGTGCTCTTTAGGCTAGTGGTAGAGGAGCTGCCCGGGGTGCACTTAAATCAGACTCGGGGTGTGAGGGTCCCACAGCCCAGCAGGCAGGATGAGGGGCTGCACAGGGATGGCCTAGGTGTGGGGAGGTGAAGGCTCAGGCCTTCACACTGAACTCGGGGGATGGCAGAGAGAGGTCTCCATCGAGGAACTCAGATCCCCAGCTATGGGCACACAAATCTTTCCATGCCCTTTTGGCACCCGAGAAGAAATGCCATGGCCAAGTGCCAGAGCTGGCAGAGCTGGCAGAGCAGGCACGGGGAAACGGAGTCGCGCGGCCTCCAGTGGCCCAGCCTCTCACTGTTGGGTAAGTCACCCAGAGCCGTGTGGGCTGAGACCCAGGTCCCATGGACCCAGCTGATGACAGCTGCCTGGGGCCCCGGCCTGGAAACTGCAGGTGCTGGCACTGTCCCTCTCATGGGGTTGGGTACCGAGCACAACCGCAGACCACATGGAGCGCAGACCGGGCAGTGTCAGGCCCAGGGGCTGCCTCCCCTCGAGGTCCCCACAGGAGCGCTCTGGAACGTGTCCGGGCATTTCCCGCCTCGTCCTCCTGTGGTCACAGCCTGTGAAGGCGGGTCCAGTAGTCGGATGCGAAGTTTGGCCACTACATGGTCCGTGCCATTATCACCCCTTTCAGATGCCACATTTGGGGGGCGGAGGTCCATGAGCAATGTACTATCAGATGTTTGCATTTTTAGGGTCCTTGAAAGTTTAATGCATTCAGTTCTGCACCCAACCTGTTCGTCATGTTTTAGAATGTTACTCTGCTAGAGGCCAGGCTTAGTTCAGATTGGTGTGTGTCTGCACGTGTGTGTGCATGTGTGTGCGTGTGTGCACATGTTTCACAGCATGAGTGAAATAAAAATCACCTGTTCCAGGGGCTAATATGGATTCATAAAAGGACCAAAATTAGAATGAAGCCAGGTGCCTGGCACCTGGGCCAAGCCACCCCCAGTGTCTTGACCTGAAACCGTCCCTGGAGGAGAAGGAGAGGGGATAGGGATCTACAGATGCTGGTGGCACATGACCCCAGGGGATGTCCCCAAGGCCCCTGAGGTCCTGTTCACCAGCAGTTGCTGAATCCCTTAGATTTTTTTTTTAAAGTGTCTGCAACATCCACACTAAGGCAAGGGGCCTGCAGCACTAAACTCGACCGATAGTTTTGCCTTTGGTTTTGGGTTTGCTTGACACACATGGGACTTGTGGGAGATCTGCATGACGGAGGAGTCTCCCACAGAGGCGGCAAGTGGGACCGAGCCCCAGTCTCCACGCTCCTTTCCCCCAGTTACAGAGCTGATTTTAGGTCTGGGGATGTCACCCCCAGTGTCCCTGTACAGTGGCACCAGTAGACGTGTGGCATTCCTGGCTTGTGGCTCACTACTGGCTATAAAATACACTTTAAAGGTCAGACAGGACCACAGTGGCTGCCGTGTGGCCTTGTCACCGGTGTGCTCACCTCACTGGGCTGGGCGCGTCAGGTCCAGTCCCATCACCCCTTGTGCAGTCGCTGAATTCCCTTCCACAGGACCCGCTGTGTCCCACACTCAGCGTCGCTGTCCTGTGTGGAGGAAACGGGACTCCGTGGGCCTTTGGTTGGGACCATAAATTCAGAAAACGCTTGTGACTATTCCCAAATCCAGCTTTGCAGTCTCTGGGCCTGTGTGGTTCACACATCCCTGCTGCCTGGCCACCTGTGGAGCGGGCAGTGAGACAGTGGCCATGCTGCAGGGAGAATCTGAGGCCCGGGAGGCTGAGGACTTGAGGGACACGTCACCTCTGTTCTGTCCCATCCCAACACTGCTCTTCCACATGGTTTCCATGACATCCAGGTCCCTCTGCTGAGAGTAGAAACTGCGCAGACTGTGCTGGGTTTCATGCAGAACACTAGCTGGTCACACAGTTGTGTGCACGGTGCGGGAGGGGCCCCCAGGGCTGGTGCGCTGTGCCTGCGGCTCCAACCCCCATCCTTGGGGCCCGTGTCCAGTCCTCACTGGCCCTGCAGTCCCTGACTTAGCCACATTCCTCCTTGAACATCACTGAGCCCCGCAAGGCAACGTGACGCTAGTCCTCAGTCATCCCTACTTTGTCAGATTGTGCTTTATATTCTACAGCTTGTTTTGAAATGCAGCCCGTATCTAAAATGTGCAGAATCTCCTTAAACGGAGGATAGATAGCTGCAGTCTTTCCCCGGAAAGCCTCGCTGACCTCAAGGAGGGGCAGAGCCATGCCGCCCCCAGACGACACAGGCTTCACTTTCGCAGCCACAGGGCTGCAGTTGCCGGTCAGGGGCGTCGGGAGCTCTGGGAAGCCTGACCGCCGTGCCTGCCGTTTCTCCTTCCTCCACGTAGAGCTGTTCAGGGTTAGGTTGGATGCTGCTGGCGGGATGTGGGTGGCCAAGTGCTTTCCCAGGGGCTGGAGAGCTGGGAGGAGCAGAGCTGCCCAGGAGTGGTCACCAGCACTGAGGCAGTTTGGGTGGGTGGGGAGAGAAAGACCTGGTCATTGAGCAGGTCTCGGTGCCCGTCCGTCCCCTGGCACCAGGCAGTGTTGACTTTCAGATGGGTTGTTTTCCAAAATTGCTTTCAGCTGCTTACTGAGAACTGGTGTTTAAACAGAGATGATTTCCTGGAGTAACTCCGGGGAGACCTAGGAGGTCCCTGAGGCTTGGTGGAGTTGTGCAGCCGGCTCACAGACGGTCCCAGAGGGGCCCTGCAGGCCTGACAGCAGCCAGGACTTGTCTCTCAGACCCACCAGCACCCCCTGCTCAACCCCGGGCCCTGGGCACACAAAGCACAAGTCTCAGGGGAGCTTCCTGAGGATGCCCACCGCGCCTCCTGCACACCCCAGAGGGTGGACACTCAGACCACTAGGAGCACACCCGCCCGGCGGGGAGGGGCCACTGTGTTGCCTTGATCCCTGTTAACACTGCACACACCAAGCCATTTGCACTCTAGAATTGCATGCTGTGAAATTCCTACCTGTGTGGACCTTTGAGTTTGGGATCGTGCAGCATGCAGAAAGGGCCAGGCATGGGTACACGGCATCCCCCGAAAGCCAGGACAGGTCGCATGGACCCTGAGTTTGTGTCGCTTGAGGACTTAATAGGCACCATGTGCTTTCAGCCCAGATGCCCCCTCCCCCTGTCCTCCCACCCCCACCACTGGAAGTCACCGCCGTGACCACGTGGTTGTCTCCTAGTGGTGACTCCGTCCTGACTTGAGGCAAGCCTGAAATCTCCTCCTGGATTTTCTTTCTCACCGAGAAAAGTCACATGAGCGCCCATGTCCGCCTGTGTTAGGCTGGAGAGGGATGTGTCCCTCTGTAGGAGGAGAGCGGCGTGGGTCAGGGGGTCAACTTCTCCCACAAGGGGAGCTTAGCGAGGACACAGCGACGCTATCCCACATCACAGCACCGCAGTCTCACTGGGTAACCTCTCGGGGTAGATTTGTAATCAATACGGGTCTATTTTTATGTCAACTGGACACTGACAAGCACCTTCCTGTCTTTTTCAAGATTGTTAAATTGAGACAAGTAATTGAATAATTTGTCCTATTTTTATTTTAAAAAAAAGTGAATGGATTGAAATGTTAAATGTGAATGTACATTTCTTAATTGCAACTTTTCTACTGAGTGTTTGCACTATACTTTCCGGAGTCTTATTTAACGAAAATAAAGAGAAGAAAAATTGCTTGACTAAACTCTGTGGCCCTTTTATTTCGAAAATAAACGGTTGTGTGGAGGTTTGAAGGCACCCTTGGCTGGTGTACATGCTTTCAAGGGGAATTTTATTATTCAAAGCATTAAGTACTAAAAGATCCCCCAATCAGACCAACAACCATGACTTGTACCAGCACCCACCCCCAGTTACAGGATTTTTGTCCTCTCCGTCTTTGTTTTTTTTTTTTTTTTTGGTTTTTCTCCGGTACCGGGAACCAAACTCATGACCTTGCGCTTGCCAGGCAGGCGCTTTGCCGGTGAGCTAAATCCCCACCTCCTCCTCTCCGTCTTTGAACTCACAGTTAAGTACAGTTACTTATTTCAGCCAGGTAATACTTAAAATTACATATGGCCACTGCATTTTCTTTTGCCTAAGTGCCTCTTGCATTTCAAAATATCCCACTTCTGACTTTTACAAGTTCCTTTAGCTCAGGACTCAAGGATAAATTCATTTTACTTCCACCTGTAAGTTCTTTATTTCATTTCCCTTCCTAGAAGATCCAAGTTATCTGAGGAGAGGTTATCATCTGATAGGTTATTTTCTTTGAAAAGTTTGAAAGTATCATTCTGTCCAGAATTAATCGAGCGATGAGGGACTGGCTCCCTGATGGTGTTGAGCAGTGTGAGTTGTTACTCCTGCGTATGTTGTCACAGGGTACTCAGGGACAGGGACAGAGGGAGGGGGACTGTGAACGCCCACCGGTGTGTGCTGTGGGTAGAAAGAGATTTTAAGGCTGAGCCATGGGGCTGGGGTATGTGAGGCCCACAGGACAGGCTGGAGACTGGGGAAGACTCAGTGTGTAGCAGGTCAAGTCCAACAGCTGGAGGCAGAATTTCCTGTTTGTCAGTCTTTTCACTTTAAGACTTTCAACTGATTGGATAAGGCCCACCCATGTTGTGGAGGTGATTACTTTATTCAAAGTCCTCCGATCACAAATGTCGGTTACATCTAAAAGCTGTCTTCACAGCATCAGTGTGACTGGGTTGGACTGGACATGTGGGAACCACGGCCCAACCAAACTGACCCATGAAATCAATCACAGATATGATGTCGTTTTTCTCTTTGACTAACGACTGCCTCTTTACTTTCAAATAATGCCAATTCCAAGTAAAGGGTTTTAAAAAATTATTATGGAAGGAATATCCCAATAAGTTAAAAAAAAAAATCAAAGGGCAGATACAGAGTTGGAGAGGGGAAAAAATATAACCAACCAGAAAACATGCAGACATGAAGAGATCTGTTAATGAAATGAATGCAAACTAGAAGCAATGACATAAACACATTCACCTTGCAATTTGGCAAATGTTTCTAAAAGGCAGAATGACCGCACTGGCAAAGCTAGTGACATCACACTTGTGTGCCTGCTCATGGGGATTTATGCACCCCCCCACCCCCGCAAAAGTTCACAGGAGCTGTCAAGTGTTAATAACAATACAGTAGAACGGGCCCTAGGTTTCCAGAAATGAATCCTAGACATGAATGGTTACTTTGTACAAGGGTCATCATTTCATGATGATGAAAAGTCGGGAAAGGCAGACTTCTTAATATGCCCCCAGGATGCCACGCCCCCGAATTAGAGCCTGCGGTGGGAAGGGACAGCGCTCCCGACTGTGCCGTGGGTTAGGGCGCACTGGGCCTCTCAGGACCTCTGGGAGCAGAGAACTTTCTCTGGCTGGGGGCAGAAAATGAAGCCAGACAGATTCCGAAGATGGGAGGTTTCGTGTGGCCTGAAGACAGGGAGCCACGTGACTAGGAGCATGGGGGCCCTTTAGGGTCTGGGGACAGGTCTGTGCCCGGCAGCCAGGGAGGGAACAGAACAACCCCAAGACCCACTTTCTGCCAAGCTGCATGAGCCTTGGGGTAGATTCCTGCTCAGACCCTCCAGGCACGAAGCCCCCTGACCTCACCTCGAGACCCAGGCAGGGCTCAAAGGCAGGAGATAATGCAGCGATGAACCTCCGTGTCACTCAGTTTGGGATCCCGTGTTATGCAGTCAGAGAGAAGGAAAACACAACAGACATCCATGCGCTAAACTCGCAGAAAGTGGCATGTTCCAGAAAACAAATACACCAACTATCCGTGCATCGCTGGCGGTGGTTTAAATCCACACCCCCGGCAGGTCATCTGGCAGAGCACGGCAGTGCCATGTGCTGGTTCTCTGGACCTGCCTACAAAGGGGCAGTGGGGCATAGGCAGCAGGTGCAAATATGATGTTCAGATGTCAAGAAAGGTTAGAGGCAGCAGCTTCTCAGAGTTCCGGGCATTTTCAACGGGAGGAAAACTACCAAGGAAAAGCAGGTACTTAATGCATTTCCTTCCCTCAGAGGGTTTTCTGACTGCGTCTTGTGCAGACCGTGAGGGTCTGCACACACTGTGAGGACTGAGGGACTCATTTCTATGCCAAGCAATGGTGTAAGTTACACCTGTGCTTTTCCCTAAGCGAGCCCCTCCCAAGCACCAGCCTTACCAGGTGCTCATGAAAGCCTTCACTGAGGAATCCTGCTGTTTGTCCAACCCCACATGCCACACACACATCCCGTGCGTCCGGCTCTGGGAATGCCCCGCTTCCCTGTTCCGGGTTCCTCACAGCCACCTCTCCCAGAAAGTCTTAGAAGGATGAACAGGGACTGCGTTCTGCCTGCGTCTGGGCACTTGGGTGGTAGCGCCCCTTCCTTCTGCAGCTGGCTTCCCGGGCATCTTCCTGTGGGCAGCGCATACACACTGTTCTCCATCTCATCTGTGAAATGTTCCAGAGAATTGCATCCTAATCATCAGCTCAAGGGGAGAGCCTGCGGATGACTGCATAGACTCCGACAGGGTAAACACGCAGTCATCCTAGAAAAGGAAGCATAAACCTCTAGGAAATCAGGGGCCACACAGACCTTCTTTGCAGGGCCTGCAGTCTCCAATCTTTCCAGAACACATTTCTGCAAATTCCTGCGGGGACTCCCCCTGAGATTTGATTTTGTTCTTCAAAAAAACAAGAGGAGCGACAGAACCCACCAGACTCCACGTCGGAATCCATTTGCATGAAGTGCAGACTTAGAACAGTTCTTGTGAAAACAATTTATTTTTAGTAATAAAGATCAGAAGGAATTGGCCCCGCAGTACTTCTCACTGTGTTACATAGTTCCAGGCAATTTTTCCGCTTTATAGTTTTACATTTTCTCATTTGAAACAATAAAGTTCTAGCATTTTTATACATCTGACAATTTTACAACCTGATAATTAGAAAAAAGGAAACAGTCTGAGTAGGTGGAACTCGTTCAGAAAGTTTGCAAATGTTTAAACATACAACACGGTCAGTGAATTCTTGTTCCTTATAACGGGCACTGGGTGAATCTGAAGGCATTGGTGCCACTCTGGCCCTCCTGCCTCTGTGAGCAATCTCATCAACCCCTCTTTGCTGGAATCACCCAACTCACCCTGGATCTGAATTACTTCCCACCTGCCTGGGGATAGAGAGTGAGACTTTCCCCCATCTCTTCAAACACGGCACCCTGGACTTTGCATGTCCTTAGCATCTATCATGTCCTGGTTTTTAGCCCAGTCTGAGGTCTTACTTTTCAGGCGGCCCTTTCTGATCCCCCAATAGCAATAACCTCTGTCCCCATGCCTGAGCATACCCTGCCCACCCGCCCCAGATGCACAGGAGTGTCAGGCAGGCAGCAGTGCAGACTAGAGAGGAAATGTAAGCATACTTGCAAGAAAAAAGCAATCCTTTTTAGACAGATGGGGCGTGGACATTTCCAAGGATACAATCTAGCTCTGTATTTAAAAGACCAAGACACATTCCTATCCCTACAAAGGCGGCCCTCAGAGGCCTGCACCATATGTGATTTGAGGCTGGTGCTGTATTGAGCCAAAGCTTCTCGGGCTTCTGCTCATCTCCTCCTTGCTGTGTGGTCTGAGAGTGACAGAGCCGCCCCTTGGGAGGACCCTGACACTACCTAGGGCACAGAGCACCCCAGGCAACTGCAGGAGGTTAAACTCCTCTAGTGCCACCCGGGAAGCTACATGAACATCCCTGCAGCTTCCAATGTCTGTAGGTGAGAGGCAAGGTCTCAGGGAACCAGAGAACCTGCTAGACCCAGCTGGGAAACTGTACTGGCCTGCCTATGCCCTGCCACAAACCCCTGCAGCCCATTTCCTTTCCTCCCACAAACTCTCTGCCAGCCCTCAGCCCTGCTGGTCTGTGCAGGTGTCCGGGGAGGTTTCTCTCACACAACCACCTCCCTCCTGCGCCCAGGTCTCTCCCAGGGCACAGGGAGCGGGACACACAGCCACCCTCACACAGGCCTTGGTCCTATGCTCTTTCATTGCCTTGGGACAGGTTTTTGTCATTCTCCAGATAAGGACCCCGGGGGTCAGACAAGCAGAGAGATGTCCCCACGACCAATCCAGATGGTAGAGGATAGGAGTGCAGTCAGAGCTCGGGACCTTTCCAAGTCACACAACACAAAGAACCCAGACTTTAAACTGCAGACTGTGACCCCAGTTCCTTCCCCTCAGCATCTCTGACACAAGATCCACTCACACTGCACCCACCAGGGACCGCAGGGCAATGGGTGTGGATGGTGCGGTGGGTGTGGACAGTTAAGTCAGTCCGAGGTGGTGGGCTCCTGGGCATCGAACTGGACCTGGACCATGCCCATGCTAGGCAACCCCTCGGCCTGGATGGTGAGCTCATGGTGCACAGCTGCCTCGATGTCCTGCAGCAGACGGGCCTCCCACTGTCTCACCCGCAGCATCTGCTCAGGAGAGAGGCCTCAGTTATCCCCCAGCATCTTCCCTAGAGATGAGGTGGTGCGCTGCAAAATGCATTTACCCAAAGAGGTGCCTACTAGGCCTGGCGTGCGCGCAGGCCAAAGACACCAGCCAGCCCCACCCAGAGCCCCTCTGTGCTCCGAGCGGAGGGGCCACACATTTTCAGGAGGGGCCCTGCCTGCCAGTCACAGGGACAAGGCAGGTGCCCCTAGGCAGTGCCCTTCTCAGGAAGCCACTGGAACATGAGGGCTGCCAGGGTGGGAAGGTGAACCCACAAAAGCCAGGGTATGACCCAGTGGTCAGAGCCCACAGGAGGGAGGCAGGGGAGAAATGAGAAGACAGAACGATTTTCAAGGTGTCCAGTGCTGCTCCCTCATCCCAGCACACCCAAGCCAGGTGTGTGCTGAAGGTCTCTGAGCTCTGTTACCAGGATTTGGGGGTCAGAGGAGCAGTGGGACCCTGGGAGGGAGGTGCCACACATTCCTAAGGGACCAGTCCCCCTCCTGCTGGTGCCCCCTGGGTGGTGTCCTCCTGTTCCTTGATTGTAAGGACTCTCGAGGACAGAACCCCCCTCCCCAGCTGCTGCCCTGGTGCCTGATCTGCTGGGGAGCTTAGGAAGATTGCTGTGGGAGGGTGGGACGGCTCTGTGCCTATGCCATACCTGGGGAGGGTCAGGGCCATGTTGGCCAGGCCCTGCGAACCCAGGACAGCCCAGGAGAGGTCTGCAGCGGACAGTGCAAAGCACAGGAAGGAGCCGACCCTGCCCAGGCGGGTGGCGTCCACAGAGGCTGCAGCCTCCGAGGTGGAGAATGCTGGCTCCTGCGGCCCTGTCAGATGGGGACCAAGGACAGAGAGCAGCCAGGGCCCATGGCTGGCAAGTCACAGCCTCCACAGCAACACTGGCTGCAGGCTCCCCTCAGAGCAGAGAGCCCCGCTGGCACAGGATGGCCCTGGGTCAGGAAGGCTGGTGGCCCGGTGACCTCCTGTGCAGAGCGGGTGCCGAGCAGGCCGCAGTGGGGCAGCATGAACCCTCTGGGGGATGGGAAGAGACAAGGTGAGACCTACCACGGCTGCCCGCTCCTTCGGGTCCCGTCTCTTCCTCTTGGAGGTGTCTGGCACCCCAGGCAGACCTGCATTGCGTGGCCAGCGATTTCCTTGCAGGTCCTCTGCCTTCTGCTGTGGCTTGGCCAACGAGGCGGGCTCTGGTGAGTTGTCCCCGAGGGATGAGGGGTCTGAGCAGGTCCCTGGCTGCACGCTGGGGCCCTCCTCCAAGGCGTAGATGGTGGAAAGCCTCCTCCTCCTGAAGGTGGCCCTAGGGCTGAGCCCTGCTTGGTGGGGCCCAAGGTCCTGGGCAGAGAGCGCAGACACTGGGGACTCTTGCAGGTAGGAGGCCCGGCCTCCAGGCCTTGGGCTCCAGTACGGGGCTGCCTCCTCTCCCTCAGGGGTGCTGTACTTGATGGGCATCTTCCAGGGTGGCCTCTTTGGCACTCGAGGGGGGCTCTCATCCTCAGAGGAGCTCAACTCAGCGTTCTGAAAAGGAAAACACAGATCCGGTCTTGGACAGTCACTGGGACCTCAAGGTATACACTGAACCCCACCCTGGGCACATTCTCATCAAGCACAATTGTCCGTAAGAGCAGGATGGTGGCACTCCAAAGGGGACACCCGGCACCAGGCGACTGCACCCTTCCAGCCTGTCACCAGTGACTGCCGTCAACCCAGGACTGCAATCAGGGGAGGGCTTGCAAGAGTAGGACCGAGGCCCGGGGACATCCGGGTAAAACCCTTCCCCTGGAAAAGCAGCAGGACATCATTCAATCATCTCAAAGTGCAAACTCACAGCACAAAATATGAACCTGCTCACAGGCGCTGCAGCTCTTCAAGCACAAACACGCACAGCAAGTGGGACGGGGGACGCAGGTGAGCGTCCCACCTCACTGTCACCTTGGCCGAGTTGTTCCTCTGAAAGTAAATCTGAGCTAATCCGGCCCACTGTATGCCTGTGCTCGCCTTCCTCAGACGCGGACACGCGACACGCGACACGCTCAGTCCCCCACTGGCAGGGTCTGCCAGGCGCTGCTCCAACCCACTGCGGAGGAGGAACGTTAACGAGAGAGCCATGCCGAGCGTGTGGTTTGCTGTTCCTTGTCATACTTTCCCTCATAACAGAGGATGACAACTGGTTCCACATCACTTACATTACGTTCAGTATTGAAAGTCACTCAGAGAGCACTTGAAGGCTGTCCCTCGGTTCTATGGAAATGCCATGCCATTTCACATGAGGGCTGCGGCACCTGCGGATTTGGCATCTAAGGGGAGCTCCAGTATGAATCCTCAGGTGGCAGATGTGTTTGTGTCCACCGTGAGACATGCGTCTCTGCAGTGCCCTTGAAACTGCGCCTGCCAAACGGCCTGACAGCCACTGACACCTGCCGGCTCTTGTCCTCCCTCGGTGGGCGAGACACGCATCATGCTAAGGACACTGTGGTGCCTCCACCCGATTGAGGGACGTTCAGAGCAACACCTGGGTCCTCATTCTGTTCTGCCCGCTCTCGGGGAGTGATTTCTTGCATTTCCTTTCTGGCAGTGAGAATAAAAGTTTCCAGCTCCATTGTCCACTGCAGGCAGTGACAGCCCCAAACTGCTAAGGCTGCCATTGAGTCGGGGTCGAGGAAGACATGGAGTGCTTCTAAAAGAACAGGGTGAAAAGCTAAAAAAGCCGCGAACGCCTGCTGGTGCTACATGATGAGTATTTTTGTGTCTGTTGCCTGGACAGGAGCCATCAGGAGCAGCGCAGAACTCACAGGAGAAGAGCCCAGAAGGACACTCGAGTATCCTGGGAACAGGACCCTCCGGTCAAGGTCAAAGAGGAGACAGACCCCAGCAGTCAAGGTTCAAGTCTGAGACTGCACCCTCAGAACACCCGCTCACGGGGCTAACTGCATCGCAGAAAGCACGAACACTACATCCCTTAACTGAATTCACACCCGTGTCTGTGCAGAGTGTCACCTTGGGAGAAGCAAAACTTGGAGGTGTTGAAGTAATGAGAGAGACAAATGCCTCTGAGGAAAGAAGCAGGTGAGCATGTTTGCTTTGCTCGGAGGCTACTGGGGAGATGAATCCAAACCAGTGGGAATGTGTATCACTATATCGTTTGCTGCATAAGAAATTACTTTGAAATCAGCACTTGTAAAGGAGATTTGAAGTTCATCTACTTGAGAGACCAAGATCTCAGAGTAAAGAACAGGGGGTGAGGAGAAAGAAAGGGACTCTTACAGAAAAGAAACAGAAAGACATTGTTTCACTACAGGAGCTGCTGTTAAGTAGCCTCTTCCTGAGAGTGAGCTCAGGAAGATTACAGGGAAAACAAGTTGGTGTCCAGAACAGATGTAAGAAAACATCAAATGTACAAAGCATCATCTCACATGAATAGGGAAGAGAGATCTATTTCTTCTCTTTCTTCACACGTTCTGTTGTGTGATTGACCATTTGGAAAAAAACAGAACAACAATAAGACCAAATCTCAGTCTCATGCCTTGCTTTCATTGAAATAATTATAAAGAGTTAAAGATTATACTCTTAAAAATTCATAAATTAACAGGAAAAAAAACCTTTAAAAATACCAAGCAAAGTTGGGTTCTTATATGACACCATCACTAAAATAAATTCCACATGGATTAAAGACTTAAATGTAAAAAAGTTGTAAAAGTATTGGGAGGAAATATGTGTGGATTAGTCTGCGAGCTTGTCCTAAATAAGGCTTTTCTAGGACTCACAACTTAGAAGCGAGCTTGTCCTAAATAAGGCTTTTCTAGGACTCACAACTTAGAAGCCATCAAAGAAAAGAATTAAAATATAATTTTTAAAAAAATTTCTACAAAACAAAGGAAAAAATGACAAGATAAAAGGCAAATCACAGTTCCGATAGGGAGCCCTGCTCTTCCTGTTATTTAGGAAAGCACAACAGCCTGGTGGATAAACCACAAGGTTTTACAACAGCTCCTAAAACCATGCCTTCCTCACACACATGTTCAACTGCGACCTGGGTTTCCCTTAGGATCACTGCCTGATTCTGCAGGGCTAGCGCTTCACTTCACATCTCCAGGAGACAGCTTATGAATTTTCCTCTCTGGCCTGGACAGCGGGCGGCTGTATCCTCCTGGCCTGCCCCAGTCGCTAAGGAGGATCTTACCGCCCAGATATCCGAGGCCACACAGGCCTGGGCAGGGGAAGGACAAATGCCCAGTCTCCGACAGGAGGTTAAGTGCCACGGGGTGTGGGTGAGATCACTCAGCGGGCTTCCAGGCTAGGAAAGAGCCAAGCTGGGGGACATTCGGGGCTGGAAGGACTAACCAGGGGAACGGCATAGGGAGGGGCAGGAGCGGTCAGAGGGGAAGGGGGAGGGGAAGGAGGGAAAGGGGTAGGGGAAGGAGGAGGGGGTCCGAGGGGAAGGGGGAGGGGAAGGAGGCGGGGAGGGGAGAGGGGAAGGGAGAGGGGAAGGGGGATGGGGTGGGGCGTTGTGGGGGCCCCAGCATGCTCTCTAGGGATCTGTCCTGCCCAGGGCCCAGAGCAGCCAGGGCAGGAGCAGCTGCACATCCCCTGGCTTCCACCCCAAATGTCCAGCTGCCCACAGGCCCCGGTGCCCTCCTGTTCCCCGTCCGCCGAGGTCAGCCCACCTGCTCGCCCCGCTCCATCGCCGTCCGGCGGTTGCCGCGCGTGGCCCGGGAGCCTCGGGAAGCGCCCGCCGCCGCTGCCCCACTCATGCCCACGCCGCTGCGCAGCAGAGGCCGGCGGGTCCCGTGGCCCTGATCAGCCGCACCTGCCGTCCCTCCTCGGTGCACCTGAGCGCGTCGGGGCCTTCAGGAGGTCAAGCCCCGCACGGGGCATCCCCTGGGGGCCAAACGCTGACTGCGTCATCACAGCAGCATAAAGGGAGGGGACTGTCACCCCGAACCACGCATCTGAGACCAGAGCTTCCAGTCCCCCAAGCCGTAGGCCACCGGACTGCCCCGCCCCAAAGCAGCACTACCCAGACGCTGCGGTTCCCGGGGCGGGTCTCAAACTGGAGCAGCTCAGAAGCCCGGGAGGACTCCTTACAGCCCCGCACTGGGCCAGCCTGGTTCCTCAGGACTTCGGGGGGTGCTCTGGGGCGGGTCCTCTTTGGAGCACTCTGTTAATGACTGGCAGTAGCAAGTACCCCAGAGTACTGGTAACTTAGTCCATGCTGATCCGCGCTAGTACTGACCTACACTAATTGGCGTCCCCCACCACACCTGCGTGATTACAGCGCGCGATCAGGAAGCCAGGGCCTGACGGGAAGGAACCGCTCCGAATGAGACATTTAGGCAACTTTACTCTTTTGGGGGAGCAAGGGGGGAATCTGTTTGATTTCTTAAAAATATGTTGAAATGTTTTTATTAGTACCCGTTTGCAGTACATGATCATCACTTTCCTGGTGGGAGTTCCCACGTGGACATAATACATCTTGATTCTTTATCCCTCCCCCTCCATCTCATTTCCCTTCCCTTTTGCAAAGGTTCTAGCTTCATGTTTCTTGTTATTTATCTTTTATGTTGCTCTTTAATTTATTGCTGCTTTGCGTTTCTCAGGGAAGTCATGTGACGCTTACACGGTGCCCCTGATTTATTTCACTTAGCATTATGGTCTCAGGGTGCATCCACCTTCCTACAAATGACTCAGATGAATCCTTGTTTATGGCAGAGTAGTACTCCATTGTGTGTAAAGGTTTGCAATGCACAGTGAATGTATTTATTGTGAGTAGTTGGCACATATATCAGTTAGGTCACCTTAAAACATCATCTGATAAACACCTAATATAATTAAAGTAATTAGTCGGAGACCAGCTACAACAATCAGAAGATGCTACCCATGATAGTGTACGTTAACTGTAGCCTCCCAGCAGTATCCTGAGAACAACATGGGGAGAAAGCCCATTTTATTTTAATTTATTTTTTTCCGGTACCAGGAATTGAACTCTTGATGTCATCCTTGCCAGGCAGGTGCTGTGCCGCTGAGCTAAATCCCCAGCCCCTAGAAAGCCCATTTTAATGAGGGAAGCTGAGTCCACAGGACCGGGTGCATTGCTGGGGTCACCTGGTGGAACGGAGCAGAACTGAGACGAGAACCTGGCCGGTCTCATGCAACTTCGTGTGCTCTGTGTGCTTGTCACTGTTACTTTTAGAACATATTATTTTTCTAAGTTGCCTTGTGGTATTGGCAAGCTGTCTCCCCTTCTCTGTAAGATGAGGTGGCATGGGAGGGGCTTCCAGCTGTGAAACATCTGCAGATCCAGGAACCTGAGCCGGGGGAGTGCAGCTGTGGAGAAATGGCACTGACTCAGCCTCCAGGTCTGTGGGCAGGTGCTGAGCTCAGCTTGCATGGTGGCGCTCACCCCCCCGCCTTGAGTGTCCACTGGTGGTGGATGAAGCTGATGGTCTTGAGTAGTGAGGTCATCCTGAGGCTTCATGAACAAGGTGGTCGGAGACCAGCTAGCTCTGTGGGATCAGTCCTTCCCATCCTGGGGACACAGGCCAGGGCAGCAGGGTGACCTGCTGGAGGGGTAAGAGCCAGATGTGTGTTGGCCAGAAGGGGTGGCTCTTCCACCCTACTGATGGGGCTCTTGGGGTGCAGTCAGCATTCTTGTGCATTAAGCTTAAAAGTATGGGGGACCTTGGCGCAGCGGTTCCCCTGTGTGTGTTGCAGGAGCTGACAGACGGAGCTGTTGCGTGTCTCCTGATGTCCACAGAGCATCATCTTTAGGAGCCCAAATTAGGTGCAGTGCAAACAGCCAGGAAAAAAAAGACCAGCAGTGCAATCAATTAGATCCAGGGAGAGGGTTACCCTGTGGGAGTAACGTGTGTGTCTATACAGGCGTGTGCAGGGCATATGTGTGCAGGTGTGTATGTCCATGTAGGTCAGTACATGTACTGCACGCAAGATGTGTACAGCATGTTAAATGAGGAAAGCCTGTGGAATACATCATGCAGTGTGTTCCCATCTTCAAAATTATACGCACATGCGCACACATGCACAAACAGAAGTGGTTAGCACGGCGTGCTGCCACACACCCGCCATCCCAGCACTCTGGGAGGCTGAGGCAGGAGGACTGGAAGTTTGAGCACAGCTTGAACAACTTATTGAAACCCTGTCTCAAAATGTAAAAAATATTTTTTAAAAGGGGCAGTGGTGTAGGTGTGTGCAAAGGCCCTGGGCTCAATCCCCAGCATATCCACTTCCACCGCCACCACCACCAGAAATAGGAATAAAAAAGGCAGCAATAATCCCAGTGACATCCAGGAGCAAGATGATGGGTACATTTTAATAACACTTAATCCTCTTTCCTGTTTGTCTAAAAAGAACACATAAGGAGTGAGTACCTAGTCCTTGTGTGGACAAGTGGTTTTTTTTTTTGGTTTTTAGTTTTTTTCTGGTACCAGGAATCGAACTCACGACCTTGCACTTGCCAGGCAGGCGCTGTGTTGCTGAGCTAAATCTCCAGCCCCACAAGTTTTGAATTGCTTCTGGCAGTGGCCCCCTCCTGTCCAAGTCTTCCCATCCAGGCGAGGACAAGGCCACACCCAGGACAAGTGTTTGTCACAAGCCCGGGTGGACCCAGAATAGTGTCCTTCAGAGACAACTGTGCCCTGGTCCCCAACCTGAGAGCTGAGCTGTTGCAGGGAACGGGGACTTGGCATGGGCCTGAGGGGAAACAGGCTGGGACCCGGGGTGGCCAAAGAGGGGTGAAGAAGGGTGGAGAGCCCTGGGTGGCCTGCAGGGTTTCCTAGGGGACAGAGAAGCCGCAGTGACCTTGGCCAAGCACAGGGCTCAGTCCCAGGCAGGACCAGGTGACTATGATGATGTCCCTATTTCCCAGGAGGAGCTCTGAGCTCTCAGGGTCTAATTACTTTCTACTAGAGGATTCATGTCAAAAACATTCACCGGGACAGATCCCGTTCCATCTGTCAATGGGGAAGCCAAAGCCACAGTGCTGCTAAGGACCTGATGTGGCTCCACCCAAGACCCCACACCCGGCATGTCTCAGCGTGCCAGGCCAGCCCAAGGGCCCCTTCAGCCTCTGCTGCCCAGGGTCTCCCCGGCCTCCTGTGCCCCCAGCACCCCACGTCCTGGCCCCCATGCACACTGGTTTAGACGGAGTGGAAGACTGATTTGCTTGTGCATAAATGAGGTGGGGGAGGGGCAGTGCATCTCAGTGGAGGCACACTAGCCTGGCGGAGTGTCACCTGTTACAGTCTCCACTGTCTGCACCATCTCACACCATGTGCAGGGCTCAGGGGGCTCAAGGCTGCCCCAGCAGGGGCGGCCACACCTGCATCCCCAAGCTCCCAGGTCCCTGACCAAGCAGCCTTTCTGCAGGACGAGGTGAGGGAATGTATACCACCCTGGGGCCTGGTGTTCAGTATCTGTCCCCTTTTGCTAATGCGTATGGGACCAGGAGGAGGCTTCACCACCAACACAGACTGACAGCCTGGTCTTGCCCCAGTGCCCTGGACACCAGCCCTGGGTTCATCCTGTGTTTAGGAGCTGAGCTTGTTGATGTGACAGAGGGGGTGGCTTTCGGTTAGCAGGGAGCGTACGTGTGAGCTATTTTTTCCAACCTTTCTTTTGATGTCCTTTATCCACCCAGGAGATAAGGGCGGAGCGCTGGGCCTTCCCACAGATTTGCATCATCCCTGTGTTGATCACGGAAAACAGGCAGGACAGCTTTTCGTGTTTTTCCCCAGGTTAAAAACAATTCCCCTTCTGAAGTTTCCCTGAATTGCAGCATTTTCTGTTTGGAAGTCGGACTTGGCCTTTGACCCTTGCTTTGGTTTCCAGAGCACCATTGCCCAACTTTCCGGCTGCGGGTGGGTGCACAGCGCCCAGCACAGAGGTGGAACCGGGAAGGTGGGTGACGGAAGGCTTCGTGAGGTTTCATCATCCTTCCGCCGGGGCAGCAACAGGAACCCCCGGCAAGACCCCGGATGGCCACAGGTCACATTTATTCAGCCCTTACTTATGCTGAGCACGCTGCCGTCTGCACCTTATAGGCCAGGAAACAGGCCCACAGCCGTGCAGTGGTACCTGGGGGTGTCAGGTGAAGACCCAGGCCGTCTCGCCCCAGGGCGATGTGACTGCCCCTCCAGGGCTGACCAAAGTTGAGCTCTTCCAATGCATCACAGACATTTTATAATTTCCTCCATGGAAACGCAGGGTGGTAAGAAGGCCCCATCACATTCTGGGCAAGGACGGTGCGCATGGCTAGCTCATGGGCGCCCCCTGCAGCACACAGCGGGACCCCACCGCCACGTGCCCCTTGCTTCAGTACCGACAACCGCGATTTCCTTGCCTCTGAGGCGCAAGAGTCACAGCGGGGTGCAGGGTTATGGCTGCCCGCCAGTCCCGGGCGTGAGGTTCTTTTTGTCCAGTTGACAAAACACGAATTCTGTGTCACTGGCAGCTTTCTGTGTGTCCTCCTCCCCGGCCCCTGGTGCCACCTGTCAACACCAGCTTCCAAAACAAGCCCGCTTGGCCCCGAGCAGGTGGAAAGCTTTGGCGCTACCCTGTGAGGGAGGCTCGGGCACTGGCCTGCTGTGGGGAGCAGCACACAGGTCTCCCTCCAGCTGGCGGCGGGGAGACCCACCGGCAACTTCGGCACCTCAGCTCGGCACGACATGCATACAGTCAGTCCTTACAAAGCGCTGGCTCCCTGCTCTCCTGCCCACCCCCGGCTACTCCAGGTGTCTTGGATTCCACAGTGCTTGTGGGGCAACAGCAGTGTTCCCTGCATGTGCTGGGCTGAGGGGCCACCGCACCCCTTCTCCAAGCCCGGTGGACACACACACAGGGCCGTGGGTTTATTTTAGTTCCTCAGCATCCTTCTGGAGTGTATGGGGCCTCCTAGGTCCACCTGGCATCTTCAGGAGGGGACGTTTAGGGCCGGTCCCTGGGGCAGAGCAGGGGTTGAAGGGTGCCAGGACCATAGCCGTGAAGCTAAAGCCGAGCTTGGAATGGCCCTCAACTCTGCGTGGTCACTGGCCCCTCGGAGACGCCAGTGACTTCCCACAGGCAACGCAGAAGCACATGGGTCACACTGGTGACCTTGCCTTACACATGGTCCTCATATAGCCGCTCTGGCTGTGTTGGCCTGGTTCCGCCACAGCCGTGCCGCTCCACTGTCCTTCCGCAGGCCCCCTGCTGTTTGCTGGGTGGAGGAGCCCGCTGCCCTCAGGACCAGCACGGCAGACTTTCCCTAGAGATGCCCGGATGTGCGACGCTCTTCTTCCTAGCTGGATAAGTCCCCACCCTCAGGACCTCAAGTGCAGCAGGTCACGGCTCTACTGGGGGCTCTTGGGGGCACCCCATGACCCTAGCCCCCATGCCTCGCACCTCTGTTCCCCACAGAGAGGAGGACTTGGACTGACGGGCGATGGAATTGGAGTACAAGAATAGCAAGGCCAAGGCCTTGGGGCGTGGCTGTGGACTTGGGTTTTTTTAATGACTGGGAAGAGAGTGGCATTGAAGTGGGAAAGTGACCTCAAAATCTGGGCCCAGGATTTGGGTTAGGTGAGGCAGGCCGCTGAGTCACAGCTTTCGCTCTGACCTGCCGGGGAGGGCTGTCACCCCACCCAGGTCTGGAGGAAGGGGCCTGGCACCACGTGTGTTGGCATTGGTCTGGGAGTGAGAGCGTAGCTCGGTCTCCAGGTTGGGTGCTGGTTTGGTCCACCGTTGCTATGAGGCAAGTGGTGGAAATATTTGGGAATTGATTCTGGCGGGAAGATCTGCTGCAAGCAGAAGGAGGCGGATCTCAGGGAAGGAGGGCAGGATGGGCACTGGGCAAGTGCGCAACACGGCGAACTGTTCAGGCAAGCGGTCTGGCACACAGTATGTGGGCCCCAAATATTTGCCAGCTGACTCTCTTTCATGTGTTGCATTAAGAAAACATTCCAGACGTAGACAGTGATTGCAAGTTGAGGAAGCCAAAGAGAAAACAAAATTCAGAGCACAAATTCTTCCTCTGGGAATGAAATTTTTAGGGACAGACATCGAAACTACTCATTTCAAATAAAACTTTTAAGAATGTAAATGTAAAAACAAAAGAACCTTAAAGAAAATTTAAAATCAAGCGGTCCATTCCATAGCCAGATACTGAATGCGGCTCTGTAAAAATAACAATGTATAGGCCAGTGTTTACCAGAGAAAGAGATAGAACACGAGACATACAAGTGTATAAGAATTTATTTATTTATTTATTTATTTTTTTGGTTTTTCTCCGTTACGGGGAACCGAACTCACGACCTTGCGCATGCCAGGCAGGCGCTTTTGCCACTGAGCTAAATCCCCAGCCCAGTATAAGAATTTATAAGATCTGCTGGTGATGGCCACTGCAGAGGTGGGTGAGGCGGTGTGCAGGAGGTGTCTGCGCCCTGGAGACTGAGGAATCCATTCTGAGACTTGGTGCTCACTGTAGTGCCCCGTGTAAGTCTGTAGCAGAAGGCTGATGGACCCGCACCGGAAGCTGAAAAATCTGCGCCGGAAGCCAGGAGATGATGTCCGAGTGAAGGTGAAGACTGGGGCTCCTCAGAAGAACAGAAGCAGATCCCTCCTTCTTCATTTCCCCTTTAGACCATCCAGGGGACAGGCCGCCCTAGGGTGGGTGTTCCACGCCCTAAGGTGTACAATTGCTGAGCCAGTTTAGCTGAGCTTCTCTTACTCACCTTGACACTATCAATCAGTGATCACAAACAACACACACAATCACGAACTTTCAACAACAATTGCCTTTACTTAGCAGCCTTATTCTTGTTGTTGGTACCGTGGCTGCTTCTACCTGCGACTGTGCAGGTAGAAGGACAAAAGCCAGCTCAGCAAGGTCAAGTCTCTCCTCTGGTGTCAGGGAGCCTGCCTGAGAGAGGAAGCAGTAAGTTGATTTCCGTTTGGTGATTATTTAGATAGATCATATACCAGATGAATTAAGTACCTGGTATGAATCCAGAAGGTTAGAAAGGTTATAGGCCGACAAGCATGGTGGTGCACACCTGTAATCCTAGCACTTTGGGAGGCTGAGGCAGGAGGCCTGCAAGTTCAAGCTCAGCCTGAGCAAATCAGAGACTTAGCAAGACCCTGCCTCAAAATAAAAAATAATTTAAAAAGGGCCTGGGGATGTAGCTCAGTGCAAAGGCCCTGCATTCAATCTCTAGTACTAGAGAGAGAGAGAGAGAGAGAGAGAGAGAGAGAGAGAGAGAAATCAATCTCCTGCAGAGCCATTAAGTTCACATCCTCTCCCATGGCTAAGTAGACATTTGATCAGTTTCTTGTCTATTTTTCTCAAGACCCTGGACCTGTGGGGGAATCATGTTCCTCTTATTATATGTCAACTGTACCATATTCTGTGTCTTCCCATTTTACTCAGCTTGGAGATTTTTACTTCATTTGAATACCTCCTTAGCTTGGAGATTTTCCTCTAGCAGATGACACGGAGCTGCTGTCATCTGTAGCTGTGTTTGGCAGGGTAAGGATGCCCGGGCGTGCTCATCCAAGCCCTGGCCCTGCACATTTGGGGCGCCACAGGGTAAGCGTGGAGCAGAGGTTGCCGGGCCATCTTTTCTCACCAGTGCAGGCCACCTCCTGAGTCCGTCGCATCACGTGTGGGGTGCAGACCTGAGTGATGGTGCAGAATCCTTTCCCCACTCCCCTCAGCAATGCCCACAGGCTGTGCACATCACAGCACCCCAGGTAGCAGGGACGAGATGGCTCCCTCCATCCCTTGGGGTGAATCAAGGTGGGCCTCCTCAAAGCCAGGTGTTGGTGGACCGTTTGGCTGTACATGGTGCAAACTCTTTGTGAAGGGGCCGCCCTCCCTGCTCCTAATCCTCCACGCCCCAGACACCTTCCCCCAGCCCCTTCCACTGGTGAGGCCTCCTCAGTCCCCACTGCAGTACCCCAGTGGCCCATGTCCCCTCCGAAGTCCTCAGGTCCACTCCTTAGCTGCTAGAGTTCCCTCTACACCCCAAACCCAGGACACCCTCAGTTGCTGGAGTCATCTCCAGCGTGCTTCTCTGGAGGTGCCACCACGCTGGTTTCCTCAAACATAAATACAACTGTTTGTTGATGATTTGACAACGTGTTTGTTATTTAGGGCGCTTTAGCCAAGTGGCCACGAGGGGCATCTCCCTAAGGCACAAGTGTGACGATCAGGAACGTGCCTCGGGTGGTGGGGGTGTGAGTGACCATCTGCAATGGGCCAGGACAGCCTGTGGCTTTGAACCTACCATCTCCCTCCTCTGGCTCAGTGTCCTGCTATGTAAAGTGAGGGGCTGGACAGGTGGTCTCTAAGCCTTCCTGAGACCGGAAATACTGCTTGGGGGGCTTCTCTGAGCCTACCCCTGGACCTGGAGGCAAAGATAGGGCACGGGGCATACAGAACTTGTGGACACCGGCTTGGAGACGTCACCTCCCCAGTCCCAGTGTCCCTCTGGGAGCCCCTGTGCCCCAGAGATGGGGCATTTCTGATTTTCTTTAGAGGCTTCTAGTGTTATTTCTTGTGACTCAGGAGAATACCAGAGAGAAAGCATTTTACCTAAAGGAAAAGCCTTTGTATTCGGTTACTGATAAACATTTGGCCTAAGCCAAGATGTCCAGGAAGCTGGGCTGTAGACTCCCTGAGGCTTGGAACATTTCCCCTCTCCACTGGGAGATGCTGTGCCCGCTCCCCCCCGCCCCCGCGGGGCCCAGAGCTCTGGGGTGATATGGGCTTCCTTGGAGCTGGGGGTGTCTAATGGCAGAGAGGAGCAGTTGCTGGGCTTTTCCTTAGGAAACACACCCCCCCACCCCACACACACACAACTGCCATGGCTTTGGAGTCCTGGGCCTGAGCTGTCTAGCCCTTGCCCACCCTGGGCCTTGTTTTCCCTGAGTGAAAACCAGCCAGTCTCTGGGCTGCCCTGCGCTTAGGTGGGGAGGAGGGCCCAGCCAGGCCTCCTGCACCCCTGGGACAAAAACAAGCACCACCCCCCACCTGGCTGCGAGCCTGTCCTCAGAATTGGACTTTAGCTCCGGCCCAGACCCACAACAGCCGGACAAACACAGCCCCAAACCTGAACCGTGTACCTTCCTTCCACCCACGGTTTGCGCAGAGCGCACGAGCAAAACAAACTTATTTGGAACACTGGGCTGGGAGCACGGCACGCTGGCAATCATTAACCTCAGGGCCCCAGGGTCTCGGGCTTCAAAAGGAGCTGGCTGCACCCCACAGGCATCGTCTGCAGCCTCTGCCACCAACCAGCCAGCATCAGACACTGAGCGCAGCTGCCTGTCTGTGAGCATCCACCTCTGCGCCCTTGGCACCTGCGCCCGGCACTGACCACCGTCCAGCGAGGCTGTCTGCTGCCCACCACCCTTGCCCTGGGATGCCTGAGGTCCCAGCTGCCGGCCCTGGGCCGCTCCTGCTCTTGATGGCCATCCAGATTGCCATGGTGGCCCCTGCGCCTCAGCCATGGCACTGTGCGCCCTGCTCCGCTGAGCGCCTGGCACTCTGCCCACCGGTGCCTGCCTCATGCCAGGAGGTCTCCCGGTCCGCAGGCTGTGGCTGCTGCCCTGTGTGTGCCCTGCAACTCGGTGCCTCCTGTGGCGTGGCCACTGCACGCTGTGCCCAAGGACTCAGCTGTCGTGCACTGCCTGGGGAGCCCCGGCCCCTGCAGGCCCTCACCCGTGGCCAGGGCACCTGTGTGCTGGAGTCCACTGAGCCTGCCTCGAGGACCGTGTCCGGTGCCGAAGGTGAAGGTACGACAGTCCCCACAGCCTGGGCCCAATGCTTGCAGCTAGAGGTGTGGGGTGGAAAGGAGCTTACATCACCCACGGAGGCCTCGCATTGCTTGGTCCTGGTGGGAGGTGACCCAGGAGAGAGGAGAGTGTGAAGGGGGACACCCTGGCCCCCAGTAATCTCGGGAGACCCCCAGTAACTGCTCTGTGCGGCTGCCAGCCGTGGGCACCACCTCAAGGCCTCTCCTCCCCGCTGCAGCCCAGGGCAGTCCCGGAGGCTGGAAAGTTCATTTGGGAAGGTTTAGGATGGGAACTCCCTCCTGCTGGCCCCGCGGGAGGTGTTTGGAATGTCCTTTGTGATATATATCCTGTGAATACGCCGTGTGCCTCCCAGATGTTTGTAGAACATAATGTGAAAATTTAGGCTGAAAACTTCACTTCCATTCATTGCCATAGACAAACAATGTTTGATGTGTATGTCGTCCCCTGAGGACGGGACAATCAGGTTACTTCCGGAATTTAGGCTGGGATTTGTTTGCAGTAGGAAGCTGAGGAAAGGCCCCTTCCTCCCCTCCGGTGCCTATCGCCCCATCAAGGCTGGCGGCACATCCTGTGTGAGGCTTGGAGGGGTCTCGTGGTTCCATCCTGATAGGGATCAGCCTGGGAGCGTGCGACCCTTCCCAGGGAGAGCGTGCGACCCTTCCGGGGGACCAGCTTTTCCTGCAGACCCTCCGTCCAGCAGAGTAAATGAAAGAGGCCATCTCAAGGGTTCACAAAGGAGGGGGTTTCCCTGGGGTGGGGGTGGGGGCTCTGCCTCTCACCCCTGGAGTCTGCCTGCAAGGTGGCTGTCACAGGCCCGTCTTTGGGGGCTTGCAGAGAAGTCACTGGGTACGTGGGCTGGCAGATCCCCCAGAAGAGAAGAGGCCGGGCCTCTGCCTCAGGAGAGGGGTACTCTAGATCCCACTTCTGATGACCCCACCGCCTGAGCCTGGAGTAACGCAGAAGTTCCCATTTTATGGATGAGAATGCTGAGGTTTTGAGGTTCCCCACAAATGGGCTCAGGAATCAACCCACTGCCTTTACCTCGGCAGAGGTGCACATTGCTTCCTCCCCTGTGCCTTAGAAGCAAAACCACAGGCTGCCCTGGCTGCACCCTGAAACTTACCATTTCTCCAGAATAGACTTAGTATAGCTGTTGGGTCAGCGATCTTCCCAGAAACCATCTGCTAAGTTAGCGTTAGCCCGACCACCCTTGTGTCCCCTGCCTGGTTCTGAGGAGAGGGAATGACTTGGGGCAAGTGCTCCTGCAAGCTCACCGGGCTGGGGTGTTTCCTTTTCAGAGGCCAAGGGCCCCCTGGCCCGCCAGCACGAGCACCCTGAGAGTGGAGAGATGACTGAGGAACAGCTGCTGGAGAATTTCCACCTGATGGTGCCCTCCAGGGAGGACCTGCCCGTCCTCTGGAACGCCATCAGCACCTACAACAGCATGCGCTCCCGAAACGTCGCAGACATCAAGAAATGGAAGGTGAGCCCCCGCGGGTGGATGCTATGCTGCGGTGACCTCTACACGGGTCCCCTGAGCTCACCCTTAAAAGGAGGGCGTCGCACAAGATCATCTCTAAAGAGCTGAGCTCACCAGTCTGAAGCTGAGCACAAGGATCTCAGCGCTCGCCACTGTATCTTTTCGAAACAAATTAGGATACAAGGCATAACATAAAAGTTGCTGCTCTGACCACTTTCAGTGTAGATGCCCTTACATCCTCCCAAACTCTCGGACAATCACTGCCGCCTGCATTAGTAGCTGGTTTTTGTTCTACCACTGGAGGGCGACAGAGAACCAGAGTTGGAGGGGTGTGATTTCCTTTGCTGGGAATAAGAAACTAAGAAAGAGAACCTCTTGCACAAACATACACGCTCCAGAAAAGTGAAAGAAGCATTCGTTAGGAGCTTTAGAAGTTCATCTGGAACTGAAGGCAAATGTAGGGGACCTGCTCGTTACTCAGGTTACCCGGATGAAGGCCTCGCTCTTCCCTTGAGTTGGGTTGTGTGGAATTGTCTTGTAGACTGCAGAGGAAAGAGCTGTTTCAAATCTGGGCATCTGTGCTGCTGAAGTCCCCGTTCCAGGAGCTGTGTCTGCTTGCATCGATGGCAGGTGTCACAGTTATTCAGCAGGCGCCGGGAGGAGATGGGAAGAATTTTGTGGCTTTTATTGACGAGGGCTTGCCTGGGGCCCCACCTTTGCTTAGGTGCTTGGGAAACGTGCAGAGGGAGAGGATGAGGTTCTCATCCTTCACCCTGGTGGCTCAAGACAGTGACCAACCCCTATCAGGTGCTCCTGCCCGTACAAAACGTTCTCCGTCATCCTTTAGGCTGATGGTACACTCTCTCTTCTACCCGTCCTAATGTCAAGCGTTTCTTTTATGCAGCCGTGCCAGCGGGAACTCTACAAAGTACTGGAGAGATTAGACAATGCTCGACAGAAGTCAGGGGAAGAAATCTACAAGTTTTATCTGCCAAACTGCAACAAGAATGGATTCTATCATAGTAAACAGGTAGGTAGCCTTGCAAATGGCATTCCTGGGATAGTCACGCTGCCCTGACCCCACAAAGCCCCTGGCTTTCATGGCAAAGAACGTCAGGTCCTAAGTATACACCACAACTGGTCCTCATGAAATAAGATTCCCCTGTATGGGCCCAGGAGAAGCGAGTGTCATGATGGCCTAAAGGGCAGCTTCAAATCCCATGGAAAGGGATGGAAATCAGTGCAGGCCCTGGGGGCTGAGCGAGCAGTGAAGACAGAGGGTGTCCTCAGGTCTCAGCACTTGGGGCTCAGGCCCACCTGCCCCCCTAATCCAACTGAGGAGAGCAAGGATCTCTTTGAACATCTCTTACTGTAATAAAATGCTGTAGCATTTTTGTGACTTGCCAAAGAAGAAGTGAGATTGAACTAGCCCAAGACCTAATTTTGAGGAGGCTGTGGGACTCACAGAAGCATAGAGTCTGAGGATTTTACTGGGGGAAACTGAGGCCTAGGCACTGCTTTACAACAGATGGGGGCAGTGGTTCACATGCAGGGGCTGAGCTCCCTAGGCATTTGGGCAGTGGAGCAGATAGCTGTCATGTGCCATGCCGCTGCACATGGGCACGTGCCACTCGGCCGCCGTCAGGGTGCTGGGGTTGTGGGCTCTTAGCCCTCACCACACCGGCAGCTTCTGTCGGCTCCTTCTCTGCTGCCTTTGACCGCAGTCCTCTCTCTACAGTGCGAGACATCCCTGGAGGGTGAGGCGGGGCTGTGCTGGTGCGTCTACCCTTGGAGCGGGAAGAGGATGCCGGGGTCTGTGGACACCAGAGGGGACCCCAACTGCCAGCAGTATTTTAACTTACAAAACTGAAAATACATGCCCTATATGTTCTTTCACGTGAAATATTTAAGTACATAGCATATTTATACTCTAGAGCACACACATTTTTATATATGTGCATATGTATATATACAGGAACTAGTTTTTATACTCCACTTGATATATAAACTGGTTTGTATTTATTCACTGTAAGTTTATTTTTTTTCTACACAGTAACTTGTGCTATAGTAATTTATATATCACAAACACTTCCTGTCACCTCTTGTGTAAATACTTGTGTTTCTGCTCTCCGGAGCTCTTCTGTTTTTCAAGAGCATGGGTAGAGGCTGCCCAGGAAAAGCACCAGCAAATGCAAGGCAGTGCTTTTTTAATATTTAAGGGGCAAGTAGCCTATATTTGAGAAAAATTTACTCTCTAGAGCTCGCAGACACACATCCGGTGGAAATCGGCAGGGCAAGTTAAACAGTTAAACAGTTCTGGATACACAGCCTGGTGTAAGCACTAGGTGGGGTGATGTCACTTGCGCCCGGCAGCCGCAGCCCTTGTAAAGCCCAGTGCGGGGTGGAAACCTGCCCGGAATAAAGTCTGCACAGTGGCCACCGACTGCAGTGTATCCCGTTTGTTTCTGAAACCCCTTCGTCTGTCCCCCTCACCCGCCTGCCTGGACAGTTGGTGCGTCTGCGTCGGGTGGTGGTGTTGGTTTCTGTCTGCAGAGCGGATGCCCCTTCCCAGTGTGGTCGGGATGAGGCTGGGTCCACTCTTGCAGCCAGGCCCTTCTGTCCCCAGTGCCCTTGGTTCCCCCTTCCCTTCAGCGTATAGACAGGCCTGGACAGGCCCAGGGTTTCTTCCGCCTTCAAGTCCAGCAGGAAGCACTCACGTGGGTCACTGTGCCCTCCGTCTTCTCCTTCTGCCCTTGCCCAAGTGCCACCAGCCGCTCAGCCGCCCTCTCTCTTCTGGGCCCAACCCCCATCTCCTCTGCCCCTAAAACTGCGACCCACCTGGTTCTCCCCAAGCTGCCCCTGACGCCCGCTCACCCACCAATCACCCCTGGAGACCCCTTCCCTCCGCGACTGCACCCTGGCCCCACCCGCGTCCTAGCCAACCACCTGGACTCCTGCACGCCTGCCTGTCCTCTTCCTCGCCACCGCCCGGGAGGCCAGGGCTGCTGCGGTCACCTGTGCCCCGTGTAGCACGGTCTCCCCGCCCAGGCTGCCACCCTCTGGCCAAGCCCGCAGTGCTGGTCCCTGAGCTCCGCATTCGCACTCATAAAGTGCAGCTCACAGAGGCGACCTCTTCCACCTACTTAGGACAAAGGCTGAGGGTGTGGATCCTGCCCCCGCCTCCCATGTCACTGATGTAGACCACGCACGCTTGTGACAGGTCCCAGCCGGACCCTCAGGAATGAGCGAGGGAAGGTGAGACTTCCTCAGGGGCATGCTCAGGGTTATTCACTTACTTTTTCTTTTTTTGTGGTATTGGGGATGGAACTCAGGCCTTTGTACCAAACCATCCCCCTCATCTTTTATTTTGAGACAGTCTTGTTAGGTTGCTAAATTACCCAGGTTGAACTCGAACTTGCGATCCTCCTGCCTCAGCCTCCTAGAACACTGGAATCATATAGGCATGCAACACCATGCCTGGCTTGCTTTGATTTTTGGTCAACAGGGAATGGGACAGGCCAGCTCCACAGGGGCTGGAGGAGGAGACTGCGCACCTCCTTGCTCCGATTTTCTCGCTGTGTCCACCAGTTTCTTTCTCAAGATGCTCTTTTCAGAGGAAAATGCAAAGCAAAGATTATTGTTTTTGAGACGTGACACTGCTCTGGGAGGCAGTGAACCGAAGGAACAGGCCGCAGGCTTTGTGCGCAGCCTGGTTTCAGTGACTACCAGTCCCTTTCTGAATGCACAGCCTGATGGGTGACGTTGCTCCTATTTGTGTCCCTCCTAGGACACCATACTGTTTTGATGTCACATCTATTACAGTTATGACTCCCACTGGAGCGGCCACTCATCACCCTGGGACCCAACCGCCCCCCCATTGTGTTTAGGGCCAGTGGCTGCAGTCCCCACTGGGAGGCCGGACTGACTTGCAGAGAAGAGCAAATGTGGGGGACCCCCGGGATGCTGGGGCTCTCCGCCCAGATTTCTCACAGTCACAGTGAAAGGTGTGTCTTTCCGGCTCCCCCAGGCTGGGGTACAGTCTGCTCCAGTGCTCCAGCTCCTGAAGGTTTTGAATTGCTCAGGCCCACCATGCACCGTGGAAAGCACAACCTCCAGTTAGTTCCTGTGAGCAGACTCAGCCTGATCCGACTCCTGCTTCCTCTGTCACTGTCCCTCACTTAGGACTCATTTCTGCCCGTGTAAATTAGAAAACCTGAGAAGACTTTTAGGACTGTGTACCCTACCTCGTGGGTCACTCTGTACCTCACTTTGGGGCTGCTGGGGCTTGTGTGCAGCTACAGGTCTAGAAGACTGGGGGGCGGGTTGGCCGTGGTGGTGGCGTCTTGCACGATGCTCATCTCAGGGAAGCCCACTAGGGGAAGTCTCAGGATAACTCCAGGGCGCGGCGACTCTAGCTTCATGAGTGCCCTCCCACGTGTCCCATTCCTACTCTTAAGGCCCTGTTCCTTCCCCGTCAGTGTCACTGTGCTCATTCACACTTGAACACATCATAGATATGGTCACCTAGAGCCTGGCTTCTTCTTGTGTTGGGTTAAGAGTTTCCAATGATGGTACTTTGTGACTCTCTCACATCATGAACTATTAGCATTCTCTTCATTACTGAAATAGACTTAGTGGTGTTTTAAAATCGAATTGAGCTGATTGGCCAAGTCCAGATACCCCAGAACCAATTCAGAAAACCTATCCTTACTATCCAGATCCTCCACAACCAACCCAGGAACTAACATGTGCATTAGTCAGAGTTCTCTGAAGAAACGCACCGACGTGACGTGTGTATAGAAATAGACTCTGCAGAATTGCTCAGCCTGTGCTGGGGGCTGAGAAGCCCAAAATCTACAGGGTGGGCTGGCAGGAGGGGGCCCCAGTGGGGTGCAGATGCTGCATTTCAGTCCCAAGGCATCTGCTGCAGACTCCTTCTTGCTTAGGGGAGGCCGGTCTTTTGCTCTGCTCAGGCCTTCAGCAGATTGTACAGTACTAACTCAAATTATGGAGGGCAGTTGGTTTTACACAGATTCCATTGATTTAAATGTTAACCTCATCCACAAATGCTTTCACAGAAACATCCAGAGTGATGTTTCACTACATGTTTGGGCGCTGTGGTGTAGCCAGTTTGACACACAAGATTAACCATCATTAACCAACACGATGAGTATAATGATACACCAGAGAGGACAGAAAATGAAATCATACAGCATGCTCAATGGAAACCAGAGAAGGCAGAAAATGGGTGGTAGGGAAGGAAACAGAGAAAAAGGCAATTAATTAAAAATACTCATAAACATGGTAGTTCAGGAATCACTTTAAATGGGAATGGTCTGAATGTACTGGGGAGGAGACAGAGTGCCTGGAAGGCAGTGAACTACATATTGTCTGCAAAATCTTATTTTAAATACAACAATTCAGATATATTACAAGAAAAAGATGGAGATGGACTGAGTGGTAGAGTGGGGGCTTCATGCGCATGAGGTGCTGGGTTCAACCTCCAGCACACGTGCACATGTGCATGCACACACGCACACACACACACACACACAGAGGGGTGGAGGAATGGATATCATTCTGACACTTAGAAGCAAGATTACGTACATTAGTTTCAGATAAATCAAACGGCAGAACAAGGAAGACTATCAGTGATAAAGAAGCACATGACATATTGAAACAGATCAGTTGTCCAGAAGGACATAACAGTTCTTACTTAATATGATATGTCTAAAGACACAGCCTCAAATACATGAGACAAAACTGGGCAGAACAGGAAGAAATGGGTGAATCTGCTATCACTGTTGGAGATTTCAACCCTTCTTTCTGGAAGTGTACGGATTCAGTGGGTAGAAATTTAGGAAATTCAGACTTGAACTCAACAGCATCATCAGTCAGTGGAATATAATTGATATCTATAGATTACTCAAAGAATAGCAGAACACAGATTCTTGAGCTCACATGGACTATTCACCAAAAGAGACTGTATTCTGGGCCATAAAATACACCTTGATAAGTTCAAAAGAATAAAAATCATATAGCATCTGTTCTTATACCATAAATTAAATTAGAAATCAAACTAGAATACAATACAAAGATAGCTAGAAAATCACAAATTACTTGGAGATTAAACAACATAGTTTTAAATAACACACGATGTAAAAAAGGAAGCTTAAGAGAAACTAAAATATTTTTAACCAAATGAAGATTAAAATATAATTTATCAAAATTTGTGGGATGCAGCTAGAATAATGCTTAGAGGAACACTTGTAGAACTAAACATATGTGGTAGAGCACAAGGGTTTTCTTTTCTTTCTTTCTTTTTTTTTTTTTTGTGGTGTTTCCAGGAATTGAACTCATGACCTCATGCTTACAAGGCAAGCGCTGTGCCACTGAGCTATATTCCCAGCCCACAAGGGTTTCTAGAATCAATCATTTAAACTTCTGCTTTAGGAGACTAGAGAATGAAGGACAATTTAAGCTTGAAGCACATATAAAATGAAATAATGAAGCAAACATCAGTGAAGTGTATGGATCACTTCACTGAAAACAGTGGAAAAAATCAAAGAAATTATATCTGGGTCTTTGAAAAATTTAGTAAAAGTAAATGAACTCATAGGTACACTAACCAAGAAAAAGCAAAAGCACAATTTATCTATTCTAGAAATAAAAAAGGGGCCATCACTGCTGGTTCCATGGACATTAAAAGGGTAACAAAGGAACACTCTGAAACCTTACACCACAAACTTGATAATTTAGGCACAATGAACTAACTTCTTGAAACTACTAAATTTCACAGAAGGAGAGATAAATATTTAACTAGGGACAATGTCTATTGAAAATTAAATTGAGTAAAAAGCCTTCCAAAAATAAAGCCCCAGGCCCAGGTGGTTTTACTGGTGAATTCTACTAAATATTTAAGAGAGAAGTGACAGCAATTCTTCATGATTTTCTCTTGAAATAACTGCTGTAATACACTTCCTAACTCATTTTAGGCCAACGTTACCTTAATGTCAGAACCACATACAGACATCACAAATGTGAAAACTACAGATCAATCTCTCTCATGAGTGTAAATGAAAAATCCTCAACAAAATACGAGCAGGTCATATCTGACACTATGTACAGAAATGGAACACTAAGTTACAATGCTAAGATCCATTAGCATTATATGGATTGCTAGTGGTCTTATGTTGCTTGGGTAAAACAGGAAGAGAATTCTGGCTTTGGTTATGTTAGGGCACAGGTACCATACATGATACTTCCTCTTTCCCCTCCACCCTTGCTTATCTCTCTCCCTCCCTTCACTCTATAAAAATTGATTTTAGCTACAATATTTTAATGTAGAGAAAAGAATTTATAATAAAAATAGAAAACAGGGTTTGTCATAGCTAGCCCTTATGTAGATCCCATTATGTGTAAGTACTGAAGTCTACATAAAGTGAACTACCACAAGATTAAATAAAATGTGTGATTAGGAAGATACTATCAGGGAAGTGAAAAGACAACCCACTGAAATGGGGGAAAATATTTGCCAATCATATATCCAATAAGACACTGGTATCTGCAATATAGAAGGAACTCTTATAACTAAAACTACAACAAAGAAAAGACAAGTGAACCCATCAGAAATGGACAAAGGATCTGAATAGACTTTTCTCCAAACAAGATGCATAAATGGCCAGCACACGAGAAGATGCTTGGCGTCATTTGTGATGAGTGAGGTACAAATCCAGACTGCAACGAGACACAGCCTCACTTGGCTAGAATCCAGAACCCCAGAACCAAGAACTGTCTGCAAGGACAGAGCAATGAACGCGGGCCCTCGTAACAGTGCTGGTGGGATTGCATAAGGCATACTAGAAATGGCAGGGGGCGCACAAAAGGAAGATGTGAACCAAGTGTTATATGAGGGTTCTCCGGAGAAACAGAACTCATGGGTTAAATCTGCCTGTCCGTCCGTCCATCTGTCATCTTTATATATCAATCTATTTCTATCAGTCAGTCATCTATCATCTATCATCTATCTATCATCTATCGATCAATCCATGTATCTAATCACCTATCAGAGGCTTACTAGGAAGAACAGGCTCACACACCCCTAGAGGATAAGAGGCCCTACCACCTACCAGTACCCCGTGACAGTCTGTGCATGCACAGAACCGGCCATCACAAGTGTGGAAAGTGGCAGAAATCAGAGGTGAGGGCAAGGACAAGGAAGAGCACATGAGTTGTTGGCTTCTGGGAAGGCAAGCCTGTGGGCTTATAAAAAGTGCACACGCCTATAATCCTCCTGTAATCAGGAGGCTGAGTCAGGAGGATCGCTGTGAGTTCAAGGTCAACCTGGACTACATAGGGAAACTGTTTCAAAAATAAGTGTCATTGTGTGGGTCACACCTCCGCAGTGGCGCCTGGACTCCTGGCTGTACAGCTTGCTTTCCTGGCCCTGCCTGCCCACTCCGTGGCCCCTGTGTACCCCTGCCCCGCATATCCGCCCCCAGTTTGGCCAGCACCAGTCTAAAGGGTTTGCTTGTCAGTTCTGTTTGTCCCCATGGTCAGCTCCACACCCTCAGACCCAAGCACCCTCAGAACCAGCGAGCCTCCGGATCTGATTCTGGAACCATTTCAAAAGCTCTGCCAGTGGCGTGGATGTGGCAAACACAGTAGGTGACGCCCTAAGTCACAGGATTCGGGGCTGCGTCTGAAGGGGCTCACGTGACAAGGGACAATTTTCCCAAGGCTGCCTCTGGGGTCCCCACTTCCTGCTTCTGTGCGCCTGCTTGGCAGGTGGATAGCAGCAGAGGGCTGGGTTAGGACACAGGACTCGTGGGTGTCCCCCCAAGACAACACAGAGCACACTGCCCAGCACCGAGGACCTGCCTGCACCATGACTGCCAATAACCCACCTGAAGGTTCTTCCGGGGTGACCTGACGTTGTGGCAGAGGCCTGTAAGCCCAGCATCCATGAGGCTGAGGCAGGAGAATCACAAGTTCAAGCCGGGCCTAGGTAATTTAGCAACTTAGTGAGACCCTGTTCCAAAATAAAAATATTAAAAAGGGGCTGTGGCTGGAGTCACTGTAAAGGCTGTCTGGGTTTAGTTCCCAGTACTGCAGAAAAAGAAACAAAAACAGGGAAAACTTTTAAAAAGAGCCAGAGTGACCCAGGGGTCCACGCATGGATGGCATCGAAGGCCACCCCAAGGGCCCTGCTGGCGTTCTTTTGTGAGCCAGAGGCAGGAACACGTTTGTGAAGCTCTCTACCCTGGCCAGAATGGTGACCCTCTCAGAATTATTCTTTTGGAGACACAAAGCCCAGAGGCAGGCAGACACGCAGGGCAAAGAGATTTCCTCTCCTTTTAATGGTAAAAACTTTATTTACTATTTATAAATACATTGCAAGACAAACTTTTCAAAAATACTTTTTTTTTTCCTCAAAAACTTAATTAAAAAAATAAAGGAAAGCTAATAGGTAGGCAGAACATCTTGAGAGCCCTTGGAATTATCAAGGGAGCTTCATGTAGCGGGGTCTGCCCCTGGGGGGCCGCGAGCTCCCTGTGCCCAGCCTTGGGGATAGCAGGTGGCTGCGGGCACGAGCTCCTTCCCTTGGTCACAGCCGTGGTTAGTTACGTCATCTAGTATCTCTACCATTTTCTCTAGGATTATCTAGTATAGATCCTATGATATTTGGGCTATGTTATATATACTGTTAACAATTAAGAACACTTCTTCTCCATATATATGTGTGAGTGGTAAGGAGAGTGTGAGAATTCCAAGTTCAACCAACACAGGTCAGAGATCTCCAAGCAAGAGTCCCAGTGTCCTCGACAGGCTCCCAGCAAGCCCGTCATCTTTCCTGTTTAGATTTTTTTTTTTTTTTTTTTTTTTTTTTTTTTTTTTACATTGCGCTGAGCAGGAGACAGGTGAGAGATGAAAATAAACCTTTGCTTTTAAAGAGCTTAACCTCAAAAATAAACTTTGCTTTGAGGAGTTGAACTAGCAAACACTACTTTCTGCAGTCATCTGAAGAAACTGAGCGATGACTCACAGGGGCCTCGGGACGCAGCGGCTGCCGACTGCCGCCCCTGCCTCTCCCACCCTGTGGGACCAAAGGCCAAGGCCACCTGGGCCACCCAGCCTTCCAAAGGGCCCTGTCCTCAAGCCACCTGATGTGAGGAGGGACACACATGCCTGGTATACAGGTTTCCAGTGTGCCCTCAAACCGTCTAGGTTATTCTGTTTGTAAGACTGCTTCTTAGTCTCTCCAGCGGTTTCCAAAGTGGATCAGGTCCCTTGCAGACGATGGACGATCTTCACGGTCGAGACCCAGGCCCCTGATTCAAAGATGTCCCCGCGCAGGCTGTGGCCTCTGCAGGGGGCGTCAGGACATCCAGGTGACTGGCGTTGAGGGTTTCCTATGCCCGTGCTCATTTGACAGGGGGTGGGAGGAAGCTTGCTTGCTGAAGTCGTGCGGGGGTGGGGGTAGAAGAGTGGGAGGGGGTGAAGGAAGGAGGGAGGGAGGGAGGGAGGACCACCCCTTCAGCTGACCCGTGGGGAGGGTCTGCGAGGGGATGGAGGCTGTGGCCTTTTGTGTGAGTGGACTTTTTACAGGCAGCAACTAGAAACTTCAAACTGCTTTTTGCTAATTACTGGAAAGATGCTCAAGTTTACCACTTAAAGGAACCATAGGCATTTCAAAAATCTGTCTAAACTTTGGTTTTTTTTTTAAAAAAAATCAGTTCACCACAAAAAGAAATATAAATCAAGGCTTTAGCCAGCTGCTGAGCATGTCCTTGGCAGTCTTTTGTGCAAAATAAGGCGAATTTGAGCTCCACGCTAACTACAACAAAAAGAGAAGAGAAACATATTAGAATGCACACCCAGAAAGCTGAACGGGTTCCATTTCTACCCTAGGTTATGCAGTGGGCTGGGCTTTCTGTCTTGTTTTTCAGTTTTTATTTCTCATTAGCAGTCCATGTCCGCAGGACGTAATTGCATTCCGTGTGTGGAATGGGCCCATGAAGATAACACATCCTCTTTCTCCACCCTTTCTGTCCCTTCCTTCCGTCTCTTGGGCCCTTTCCCATTTGAAAAATATCTTCCTACTTCCTATTACCTATCTTTTATTTTGCTCTGTATTTATATCTTGGATTTCTCAAGGAAGAGAAATTATGTGGTATTAAATTTGTTGTGTACCTGATTTCTTGCACTTAATATTATGGTCTCAAGGTGCATCTGTTTGCCTATGAATGACTCGAGTTTATTCTTTATGGCAGAGTAGTATTCCATTGTGTATAAATACATTTTCTTTACCCATTCATTAGCTGATGGGCAGATAGGCTGCTTCCAAGATTTAGCTATTGTAAATTATACTGCTACAAACAGAAATTCCAACTGACCAAGCTATTCTCCTTCTGGGTAGCTTCCCCAAACTCAAACACATCATAAATAAAAGCTAAGTGTTCACTGTTAAAAAGTTACTCTAAAATTAGACTTCTTTTCCCCAACTTGCAAGGAGAATATTTCTAACTAAAAGTGAAAATTTCTTCTGCTTACTAAGTGTCTTCAGGAGATGAATGGAAACATATTTATTCTTTTCTTACCCTCCAATAACTCACTTATTACAAGAAAAAGGCTATGACCACATTCTTCAAAAGGATGGTTTAGAATTCATGTTAGATACAAATGCTCTCCCTGAAAACTAAAGTCACTGCAAGCTAAAAGAAGAGCTGTAATGTATTTTTCAGAAGAATAACGGTCGTGGCTTTGATTTAGAAAGGAGTCGTTAGCAGGTTCTGGTAAGCGACAATGGTTTCCCGTGGCGTCTGGGGACCATCAGACTGACTTCCATGGACAGAGCGTCCCTCTGAAAACTCCCGGCGCCGTGCCCATGTGTAAGCCACTTAGGACAAAGCAACAGCACTCAGCCTCCCCAGAGCCTGTCGGATGGGCTGGGGGCTTCTACCTCTCTGGGTCCTGAGGTTGAGGAGGGGCCGTGGCCACGCCCAGCCCGCCAATCCTACCCCCACACCCCCCCCCCCCCGCTTACGTGGTGGGTGGGTCTACTGGCTGTGCATGCTCAGGCAGTGCACGTCCTCCTTGCCCTTGGCGTCGTAGCCCGGGAGGGGCTGCCCGTACCTGTCCACGCACCAGCAGAAGCCCCGCTTTCTGCCTTTGGAGGGGCGGCACTGGGGGACAGAGAGAGGACCAAGCTGTGAACACTGCACGCCAGAGAAACTTTGTCTAGGACCCTGAAGGGCCACCGTGCACAGGCGGCAGCGTGTGGGTCTGTGTGCGCATGTGGGTCTGCACGCAGGCGTGTACACCTGCGTGTGTACTCCTGTGTGCTCCCGTGAGCCTGTGCGCAGCATGACCTCCGCAGGAGGGGATGAGCATGGTCCGTATGACCGACCTGGGGACGCCAGGACACCGGGCTGCGTCTTGGAGACCTCGCCCCACTTCAGCCTGACGCTGCTGACCGGGTGACTGGTAGAAACGCCAGCGATGACCCCAGCCCAGACACAGCGGCCGAGGAGGAAGGTCTGGGCGTTGTGACCACGGCCACCATGATGCTAGTGGCATGGAGGGAGCTGTCCTGTTAGGAAGTCAACCAGAGTGCTGCTCCCCAAAGCCAGTCTCCAGAGGCGCCCTCGTTACATTACAACATCTCACACGCGCAGCCTGGCACTATCAGAAAGGCGTGGGGACACGGGGGGATCTGCCTGGGCTCCTCTGTCCTCACGCTGGCAGTTGTTTAATACGCTGCTCCACAACCCAAGGCGGGGAAATGCGTCCCTTTGCTGTCGGTGGCTGAGTCTCCTTTGCTCAGCTGAAAGGCCCTGTAGAGGGCAGCGTGGCTGGGACTGTGCTCAGCCCGGAGCAACCCCCAGTCCCATCCCGAGACCGACCCTGAGTCACACACAGCACGAGCGCCTCAGGACCTCTGAGCCGGAGCCTGGGGTGACAGGAGGGCGGGGGACCAGGGAGGACCTCACTCGCCACTCACCTGCTTCTTCTTATAGAACCCCTTCTTGTCACAGTTTGGGATGTGGACGCCCCTGGGGCTCAGCACGTTGAGGAACTTCAGGTGGTTGAGTGTGTCCTCCATCTCCCTCCGGCAGGGGCCCTGCGGGACAGCAAGTGGGGACCGTGGGCCCTGGTTAGTGCTCTGAAAGCCTGCTCCGCACCACACCCACGGGACCTGCCAGGCGGGCCTGCACACGTCCCAGGGTCCCCGCACCACCACCACCACCACGGAGTTAGCAGGGAGGACGCTAAGCCTTGTTATCCGGAGCCAGACAGCTGGGCGAGCTCAGGGGAAAAGCGAAGCACATTTGCGAGCAGCTTGCCCGGCACCCACAGTGGCCTTTGGTAGCAGACTGCATTTTGCAAGCACAGGCTTAGCTTGAGCTTCCTCGGGGTCTCCAGACAAGGACTGGCTCACTGTCCTTTATGGAAGGAGGGGTGGGAGGGGCATGGGGCGCCTGGGCTGTGGATCGTGGTGGGTCTTCCTGCTGCACCCCTTAACAAAAGCAAAGGTTCTCACGTATTCTGTCTCCCGCTTGGACTCGGAGGAGAAGTTCTGGGTGTCTGTGCTCTGGGACTCATAGTCGACTTTGTAGCGCTGGCTCTCCTTGGCGTGGCCTTTCCTCAGGGCATCTATCTTGGTGTGGAGGGTGTGGAACTTGGAGTCGGTCACCCGGTGGGTGCTGGGGACTGCCTGGGTCTCCACGCTTCCAGTGCCCTGGTCTTCCTCCGACTCGCTGGCATTTCCTGGAAAGTATGAGGGAGATGAAGACGTGATCACTGCCCGCACGGAACAGCAGTCTTCTCAAAATCTTGCTTTTGGAACACGGAAATGTCATTCACCAATTCCCCCAAAATTAGAAATACGCCTCGATAAAGTTATACTATGTGCTGCACCATGGCTGCTTTTCCTTGGAGGAAGTCATGTATTTAAAAGTCAATCTGGGGGCTGGGGATTTAGCTCAGCAGCAAAAGCGCCTGCCTGGCAAGCGCAAGGTCGTGAGTTCGGTTCCCGGTACCTGAGAAAAACCAAAAAAAAAAAAAAAAAAAGTCAATCTGGAGGCTGGGGATATAGCTGTGTGGCACAAGTGCGTGCCAGCACGACGTCCTGAGTGCGATTCCTGGTACCAAATAAATAAATAAATAAGCCAGTCAATGTGCAGCTGGGCATGGAGGTGCACACCTGTGATCCCTGAACTCTGGGAGGCGGAGGCACGAGAACTGCAAGTGAGACCTCAGCCTGTGCAACTTAGAGACTTAGGGAGATCCTGTCTTAAAATAAAAAAGAAAATTTAGAAAGGGCTGGGATGTAGTTCAGTGTGAAGGCCCTGGGTTCAATCCCTAGTATCGAAAAAGAATTCACAAACAAGACAAAACAAAACGGCCCAAAGTCATTCTGGCCTGTGCTTTTAGTAAGTATCCGCAGCTCAAGAAGGTAGGAAGCAGTTTATCTGGTGCTATCGGTAGAGGTGAAAGCAGCGTGGCTCCACCTGCCACCAGCAGGGGGCGGAAGCACGCCACGGAAGGCTGCTGCAATCCTCCAGGAGGCTCCGAACGGTCCTCCCACCCGGGAGAGGAAAGGCGGCCTTGGGGACGCGAAAAAAATGTGCATTCTTCACGCATGTTTCTGGGCAGCAGTCTGGGTGTGAACAAGGCCTCCTGGGAACTCCTGACTTTTGCTCTTGGACCAGTGCTGAAGAGCTCGAGTCCAGCTGAGATGGGAAAACGATCGCATCCCCAGCCGTGGCGCTGTTTTCTAGGTCTCTGTCACGTCCCAAATTCAAGATTCACACAGACCCTGAGCTTCCTGGACGAACCCCCTCCCCCAGAGCACAGAAGTCCAAGGGACGCGCCCAGTGCAGACCTCTAAGGGGGGGGGCGTCCCCTCCTGCAGGTCCCCACCCTTTATGGTCGGAAACGCCGCGGAAGAAGTGTGATAACAGACGTGGGTTTGGCCCGGGGCCTGAGTGGGTGAGGGCATCTTTGGCTGCGTGCAAGCCAGGATTCTCACTCCTCCTCCAGGAAGAACCTGGAGTGGCCACGGGACCCCCATGGGGATCAAAGGCCAAGTGAGTGGGAGCCCAGTGCCCCGTTTGGACCGCTGAAGGCTTCGGCGGCAGCCCGCAGTTGGCTGCCCTGGGTCCCTGCCCTCCCACAAGCCCGCCTTTCTGCTCCCCAGCGGCCGGGTCAGCAGGTTCTGGACCTGGCCCATCTGGATGCGATGTGCGGGCTCCAGTTGAACCGTTTCCCTCTCCCTGGGCCAGGGCCGGCAGTGGCAGGCTGCCCACAGGGAAGCCAGGCAGCCTCCGGCCCTCGGCCAATACTTGGCTCCCCGATAGCCACCAGAGGGCGGAGGATCAGTGCAGACTCCACAGGAGGGGCCCTGGCGCCATCGGAAGCACCTGCCGGCTCACCTGGGAGGTGCTGGGGAGTCCCTCTCCCTCTCCGCGGGGGCCAAGCAGCTCCCCAGGAGCTCAACGGCTTTGTGCTTTGGGGATACAAATTCCCAGGGTCTATACCTGACAGAGTAGGTCCATAACTGATCAACTTGGTTTCCATTTTCTTTAACCTGAGGGTTTTTTTTTTTTTTTTGGAGGAAGTGGAAAGGTGATGCTAAGCATATGTAAATAAGCACATTTGCATTACTTTTCCAAGAACCCCAAGTGATTTCTTAAACCCTCTCCGTTTCTTTTTCAATGCTTAAGATTGTTGGCTACAACCTAAAGGCAAATGGCTGTGTTTAAACAATGGAGAGTTATGACTCTTCACTTTTTCTTTCTTCTTGTACTGGGGGTTGAATTCAGGACCTCTGCACGGAGCTACATCCCCAGCTTTTTGGAAAACTTTATTTCTAAAATCTGACATAAATTCTCACTAAAGTGAGTGAACTGCCCAGGCTAGGTGGGAACCTACGATCCTCCTGCCTCAGCCTACTTAAGAGCTAGGATTACAGGTGTGCACCACCGTGCCTGACTGGAGAACTATGACTTTTGACGGTCACAGAGCTTCACTGGTTTTTGTCCCAAATGGACTTTGAATGTCATGTAGATCTTTTTATAACCTTGTAAGAACCCACAGCAACCAGTACACAGAGGCTGAAGCTGCCGTGGTGGAAATCGTGGCTAGGAAAGCCCGACCAAAAAAGAATATTTAGAAAGCACTTCGAAGATCGCCTTTGACTACCCTCTCCCCCAAACGCACTCGGACAATAAAGTACACACGCTCAGCAAGTGACAGAAGTTATTCAGAGAGAAGCCTGTGAAGCAACCGGAATCTCGCCTGTCCACTGCCCGGTATTTCTCTCTCGGGGTGAATAACGCCAGCCACTCAGGGGAGGACCCAGCTTTGCAGCGCAGGGGAGCTGGGCGGCCACGGAGGGGAAGCGCCCCGCGGACCCCGCAGTCCAGGAGGGCCGTTGCGTGGGGGAGGGAACCGAGACTGGACAAGTGCTCACTCTCGGCTGCGATCCGCTCAGACTCAGAGGGAACCAAGCGATCTCCCTACCAGAGGCGCCGCCCGCCCGCCCGCCCGCGGCTGAGCGCGGAGGGCTAAGCGCTGACCAGTTTTGCATTTTTCCTCTTTTGAGATCGCCCTCAACCGCACTTCATTTCTTCCCTCTCGTATTAAGGACTAAACAGCCCCGGGGCTGATTCTTAATCCCGTCCCAGTCGCTGAAATCGGCTCTGTCTAAACTGAACTGCCCGCCACCCCGCGCCCCTTGCAGGTGCGGGGAGGCCGGCGGGGGACAAGCGGGGTGGCGCTGAAAGTGGCAGACGTGGTTCAGACCTACAGGCTCGCTGCGCTCGGGTGACCTGGAGAAGTTACTTCAAACCGCAGAAAGGAAAAGCTGCTTGGATCCTACCCCGCTCGGTTCCGGACACGCGGAGACGTGCACGCCTTTGCAAAGCGAAGCCCGTGCCGGCGAGCAGTTTCAGATGGTGCCATTTCCTGCGTCGCGCCCGGCCGCCTGCCCGGGCCCAGACCCCACTGACCGCCAGCTTCTGTCCCCTCTCCCCGCCACGGAAGCCCAACTGCACCGACAGCGCTCTGCAGCCCACGGCTCCGCGCTGCGAGGAGGCGGGGCGCCGGCTGCGGATGGTGCGCGGGGCGCGCGCCCGCTCTCGGGGGCCTCAGTTTCCCCACTCCCACCTCCCGGCGGGAAGCGCGGGGCCGCGCAGGCGCGGGCTGTGGCTCACCTGGAGCGGAGGGCACAGGCAGCAGGAAGGGGTGCAGGCGGCCGGAGGCGCTGGCGTTGGCGCAGAACCCGCGGCCGTTCAGGAGCGCGTGCAGAGGGCGCGGCTCCTCCGGCTGCGGCTGGCAGC